CACCCCACTCCTCACAGCCAGCAGCAAAGTGCTTTTTCTGACACTTCACCACTGCCCTGAGGAATTCCCTCTGCCTTTTGTAACTCGGGGTGTCGCTCCTGGAGCCGTGCTCCTGGCTGCCAGGGGTGTGTGCTTGCAGAACCCGGCCCATCCTCCAGAAGCTTGCAGCTCTCAAGCTGGGGATGCCCTTGCTCAGGCAGAGCTCTGGGGGCTGGCTCTGAGCACCACGCTGTGCCCTGCCAGTGCCACCAGCCCTGTGCCACGCACAGCCTCAGTGCCACCAGGCCACTCATCCTGCACGGCGCTGACAGCTTTCCATGAAAACATTTCAAAAATGGTTTTGCAACTTAAGAAAACATACTTCAGCAATTACCATTTCCTTTACCATGAAACCAAATTCACTGTACATTACAGCTTTAAAGCTGAGATCTAAGGTTCAGATCAACTCTTTAATCCTGACTGTGGCTTCAGGTACTTCCTGATATTTATGAGAAATGCTCCAGGCCTGCAGCTGGGCTTTGAACGAAAAAATAATGAACTTCGTTGACTGTGAACAAAGTTCCACACTATTTTAAAGAAAGTTAAGCTGTGACATTTTTTAATCCAACACTAAATCACATAACCCAAATTCTCTGCATGATTCAGGAATGTTCACAGCAATAAAAAGACAATTAGATCAAACTGGGTTGCTAAATGAGCTGAAATCAATCTATCTAGACTTGAGAATTCTTGTTAGCCTCTCTCCTGAAACACTCCCATTTCACTGTATAATATCTGAATCAAAACAATTTCCTATTCTAACATACTCCATACACCAACTCTCCATCTCCTCTTGCTAATTAAAATTGTGGGTAATAAAGGATCTTACAGAATACACACCTTACAGAATGTAATATTTCTTATTGAATGTGGTTCACAAATCTATTACAGTATTAACAGGTCTTGCTGCTGTCTGTGTAATGTGACCTCTCCATCCAATACAGCTGTTACTGAGAACTTATGCCAAATCACTTCTTGCTCACTTCATGCAGGATTTGCACACAAAATAAATGTCAGCCAGGCCTAATCTGAATTTTTAATATTGCAGGGAAATGCAAAGTTGAAACCTTTATATTCTCTCTTCTTGAGAGAGTACTTCTGTGATATTTGTTATGCAGCTGTGCATTATCTCCTCAGTGGCAATTCTTTCTCTTTTCTGTCACATGCCTGTGGCTCACTGCCTTGCCTGTCCCACACTCCAGCCAGGGCAGGCACGCTGGTTCCTCTGTCCCAGGCTCCATGACAGGAAACAAATTGTGGCACTCAAAACTTGCACTGGGCAGAAGCAAGGCTGTTAGGTCATGTTAGTATTTCAGATACCACACAGTCTTTAAGACTTTGCCTCTCTCAATTTAGGAAAAAACAAATTAAGAATGTAAAAGCTCTGTGGTCCAGACTCATAACTAGTTAAAACCTACCACAGGGACGTGAATTCCTGTGCTCATTTTTGAGAAATTCCCATTTGAGAATTTCTTAACAAATGTTTAATGGGACTCAGGTGCACCACGTTGGCTCCTAAGGACCTGGCTATGCACACAAGTGACTGAGTGCTGTTCTGAGGGACTCCTCGTGCTTCAGCACAGCAAATAATGGGGTTTATTCCCCTGTCTTGCCCTTTGTGGGGTCAGAGCCAAAAGAACCTAAGGACCTGGCTGTGCACACAAGTGACTGAGTGCTGTTCTGAGGGACTCCTCGTGCTTCAGCACAGCAAATAATGGGGTTTATTCCCCTGTCTTGAGATAGTGCCCTTTGTGGGGTCAGAGCCAAAAGAGCCATGCCTGGTCATGGTGCTGCACGAAATGCACGAAGGTAAGGGCTCAGCCTTCCGTGGGAGGCACTTGTAATACATTTTATCACACTGAAGGTCGTGTTTTGCTCACTGTGCACTGGAGTTCCTTCTTTCTTTGCCATTCAGGAGCCCAAAGGGCTGCTCACCACGCAGCTGTCTGCTGGTACAGTTCCTGCCTCCTACCTCCTCAGGCATCTTTTTCCTGTTTATACTTGTACATCAAATGGGCCTTTGGAAAAATCCCTGCTTTCCTTTTGTTCTGTGCTCTTTGTTCTGTTTCCATGCAGTCCTTTCCCCTTTGGAGATGACATGGATGGGAAATGGCTCATTGTAGCAACAGGAGACAGGAGGCAAAAACAATTGCATCACGGGTAAAGCAAACATCAAAGCAGAGCCCCAGCCAAAGAGCTGGGGAAACAAACTCGTGTGTGATATTCTGACGTGTTGAAGGGAGTTTGGGAGGGGTTTTGGCCACACAAAACATGAAGTGCAAACAGTTGCCATTTTCCAAACCCTGTCTTGGTGTTTGGAACCAGCCTGGGCCAAGGACACGATGGACCTGCTGCCTTTTGCACGTTCCCTGTGACTGTGACAACCCTTAGGGCCACCTGCACAGCCAGCTTTAACTGGGCTGAATTGTTCAAAACAGCAGGTCTGAAAGACTGAACCAACCTGGAACCTGTCTTTCACTGAGCACTAATTAACTGTCTGACAGCCCACGTATAAAAATTACGGTGCTTATTGTTGATGTTTATTTTCACTTTAATAAGGAATTGCTGTAGGTAGCCAGCCTGATTAAGTACTTTTAACAACTCCCTTCTGAAGGTAATTAAGTTCTGCAGTGAAATGTAAGGAATTTGGCATACAAAAACCATTAAGCAGGCAGATATTTTAAATGAATAAACAAACATAACTCTTTCCAACACACACATTCTGCTTTCTCATGATTTACATAACGCAAATGACTTTGACAACATCTTTATATTCTGTTTATCTTAAAATACTGCTGAGCCAAAAAGATCTGCATGTTGTGTTTCTGCAGCTCCAAACCTCTGACCCACTGGAGAGTCCTGCAGGCTACAGAGCAATAAAAGTTGCCACTGTGGGTGAAGAGCCCATGGCAAGGAGTAATCACTGCTCTTAAAAGCACTGAACATGCCACATCTAAGTGTATGCATTGAGTTTGTTAAATATTTATCCAGATTTATATGTGAATAATGGAAATCACATGCTAAAAGTACTTCAGTGTCTTTAAGCAGCAGCATCCACACTTCCATAGCTGGAAAGCTCTGCTTTTAACTTCTGAGAGAACCTGGCTTCCCCCATGGGTTGCTGTGCAGAAAACTGGCTTTGAGGACAGACTGACAGTATAAATGAAACAAAGAGAGATATTCCTACTATTTAAGTATTAATGTCAACAGTGTCACCCACTTCTTCCTGGAATAGCAGAGAACAAGGAAAAGGAGCCTCGTTCACTGCAGGTACCTCAAAAACTGTAAATGACCTCCCAAGGTTGGGGGCTCGTCCCCAAAGGTGGTGTTTACTAGGGAGGGCTCTCTCTGAAGTCAGTGTCTCCAAACACATCACGGCCACTTAATCTTCAAGCAGAGGCACCCTTGTAAAGTGCAGTGGTGCCTGTGAGCCCTGGTGCCCCCACACATCCTGCTTTTCACGGAAAGGCTTGCTGGAGAGTTAATTCCCACTTCAGACGCTTCCCCCCAAGCCTAAGGGTTTCTGCTCCTGTTGGGAAGCCCAAAACACGAGTTTTGTTGTGTGTCACAGCCACGGCAGGTGGGTCAGCCTCAGCAGCAGCATGCAGGGCTGGAGCCCTGTGCAAGAGGGCCTGTTGCCACACCAGGCTGTCACACCAGGCTGTGCCACACCGCTGCAGCTTCAGGGCCTGTGCCCGTGGGGTGAGCAAGAGGGTCTGCTTGATTTTATTCATCATTAATAAAGCCATTTAATGTAGTCAAAGTGTTTTAATAGAGCTTATGGTAAGGGTTGTGTTTCATTGTTTCATAGTTCCATGTCAGTTAAGAAATCACAATTTCTAAGGACCGATATTTATTTTATTGCTGTGGGATAGAAAGCATTAAACACGTGCAAGTTATGTGCATTAATTGGAAACACTTTAAAATACTTTAAATGTATCAACAGGTTTCCATGTACCGCATCTGACTGATCTTAAATTTCCCAAAACATATCTAACAACAGAAGCTCCATTTCTGGTTCCACTGCTCCATCTCCTGGCCAGCTGACATTTCATTTCCACGGGCGGAGAGGGGAATCAGTCACTGCCGGCGGGACCGGGCTGCTCGCGTCCTGCCGGGACACCGGGCACAGCGCCCGGGAACGGGGACAGAGCCCGGGAACAGCGCCCGGGAACGGGGACAGAGCCCGGGAACGGGAACAGAGCCCGGGAACGGGGACAGAGCCCGGGAACGGGGACAGAGCCCGGGAACGGGAACAGAGCCCGGGAACGGGAACAGCCCCCGGGAACGGGAACAGCCCCCGGGAACGGGGAACAGAGGCCGGGAACGGGGAACAGAGCCCGGGAACGGGGACAGAGCCCGGGAACGGGAACAGAGCCCGGGAACGGGGAACAGAGCCCGGGAACGGGAACAGAGCTCGGGACACCGGGAACAGCGCCCGGGAACGGGGACAGCGCCCGGGAACGGGAACAGAGCCCGGGAACGGGGAACAGAGCCCGGGAACGGGAACAGCGCTCGGGACACCGGGAACAGCGCCCGGGAACGGGAACAGCGCCCGGGAACAGGGACAGAGCCCGGGAACGGGAACAGAGGCCGGGAACGGGGACAGCGCCCGGGAACGGGAACAGAGCCCGGGAACGGGGACAGCGCCCGCCCCGCTCGGTCCGGGGGAAACCCGCTATCCCGAGCTCTGTCCCCGCTGTCCCGGGCTGGATCCCCGCTGTCCCGAGCTCTGTCCCCGCTGTCCCGGGCTGGATCCCCTCTATCCTCGCTATCCCGGGCTGGATCCCCGCTGTCCCGAGCTCTGTCCCCGCTGTCCCGGGCTCTGTCCCCGCTGTCCCGAACTCTGTCCCCGCTGTCCCGGGCTCTGTCACCCCTGTCCCGGGCAGCCCCCGCGGGCACGGCCACAAGAGGCGGTGCCGTGAGGGCACGGCCCTTCGGCTCCCCTCGGCTCCCTTCGGCTCTCCCCGGCAGCGCTCGGCAGCCAATGGGCGCAGCGGGCGCCTTCCCGCCTCGCCCCGCAGTCGCGTGCCGTGCGGGCTCGGTGCTGAGGGCGCGGCGGGGCCGGGGCTGTCCCGGGGCTGTTCCGGGCCCGTCCCGCGGCAGCGGCGGCGGCTCCAGCGGGCGCACAGTCGTGCGGGGGCTCGGGGAGGGCGGCCTGTGTCTGCAGGCCGGTAGGAGCAGTGTCCCTGCGCGGCCCGAGGGCAGGCGGAGGTAAGGCCGAGGCGGGCGCGGCGCTGCCGGGGGTGCGGCCCCTCGGGCTGCTGGAGCCGGGCCGGGCCGGGCCGGGCTGTGGGTGCCCAGGATGGGCAGGCTGGGCCCCGAGCAGGCCGCGGCGCTGGCACGTGCTCCGTGGAAGGTAGCGAGCCGGGCTGGCCGAGCTCTCGGAGGAGCGGCCCGAGGCCCTGCGGGGCGCGGGGCTGAGGCCGCAGCTCCCGCCGCGCCCTCCGGGCTGACTGACTCGGCAGCCTCAGCTCTGTGGGGCCCGGCCCGGCCCTGCAAACCTGGCTGAAGGGCCTTGCCCTCCCTCCCCTATGGCTCTGTCAGCGTGGAGATCCCCGAGCAGAGAATCCTGCAGGGATGGGTGTGTTCTGCTGAGCCCGTTGGAATTAAAGCAGGATAAATGCTCTAGTGCTGCTCATAGTATTTGTTGGGATAAGGGTGGGAAGGAGAAGACAGAACACTAATGCTGTAGGTTACTTGTTTTAGAAGATGACTGGAAGAGCCAGAGCCAGAGGAAGACCTCCCAGACAGACACCTCTTCCTCCTGCTGTAGGAGATGCACCTGTGAGTTGGTTTTCAGGATTTGAGATCCTTACCTCACCTGCTTCCTGTTTCAATATCAGGCATATGTGTTGTATGTTTTATGTGTGTATGCATATCTTCTGCTGGGCGTACAGTTAATATAGCTCTGTTTTATTAAGTTTCCAGTAAAATGAAACTCTGAATTGTGGGATTGCTCATGGCTTAAGATTGCTGTTCTTCCAGCCCTGGCACTTTTTAGTATTACTTATTCACTAGACACTAAAATTACAAAAGACGTTTTTATAGAATAAGTGGTCAGTTACTTGAGGTATCAGAGGGACTGTAGAAAATGAGAAGTCCATAAATTTTAGTTAGAGCATGGAAATAGGGGATTTGCATTGGCTATTAGTTAAATGAATAAGAAGTTAAAAGGCTTCCACACTCCAGTAACTTCGAGTTCCAGGTGTAGAATAGTAACTCTGCTACTTAGTACAGGAAAAAAAGGTTTTAAACGTGAACGTACGTGAAAGGGTGTGAGTGTCCCTAACTCGTGCACTCCGTGGCTGTTTGTTCCCAGCAGTGGCAGCTCCAGCAGGGCGTGCCCGGCCCGCTGCGCGGCCGCCGGCACCCGCAGCAGCCCCAGCAGCAGCTGCAGCACCCGCAGCAGCTCCAGCATCCCCAGCAGCTCCAGCACCCGCAGCAACTGCAGCAGTTCCAGCAGCTCCAGCACCCGCAGCAGCTCCAGCAGCTCCATGTTCCTCCAGCACAGCCCGAAGAGCCCGGGGCCCACGGGCGCCTGCGCGGCGGTGAGAACCCCCTGCAGGAGAGGAGGCCTGAAGGTCAGAAGGGCTGGGAGATCCAGGGTCCACAAGAGCCCCTGTTTTGGAGAGGATCCAAATAAGGCATCCTTTAGACTGTGTTTGTCTTTTTTTTCTTTTCAAAACAAGATTTGTTACTAAGATTTGGAAGATGTTTGCTACAGAGCAAAAGCTGAAACTTAACATTTTGTGATCACTCTTAAATTTGTCTTGATGCCTTTCAAGATTTAATTGCGTTATATATTTTTATTTGTTAATATATGATAGTATATATGTTATTTATTACTTGATTGTGATTCTTGCATTTTAAACAATAGGGTTGCAGGTTTCCTCAGGACTCCAGGATTTGTCTTTAAGAGATAGGGGTGGACGTCGCAGAGATTTCCACGACCTTGGGGTGAACACTCGGCAAGCCATGATGCATGTGCAGGAATCCAAAACCGGTATGTTTAAAGTAGACTCCAGACATGCTAGCCATTTGAAATGAAAGAGTTTCCTTTATTTCTGCTCTCAGTTTCCCCTAAAGAGCCAAGTAAAAAAAATCTTCAGAGTGTATTAGATAAGAAGTTGTTGCTGGTAGCTGCAGAGGAGCATGGAGCGTTGTCCTGGCAGCTGAAGGCTCTGCAGAAAGCTCCAGAGGGCACATGAGTGTCTGATAACATGGGGCTAGAGCAGATGAGAAACACAGCTGAGCTCTAATCTTTGTCTGGCTGCCATAGCTGGAAGAACTCTCTGAGCGCTGTTGAATGACTGTTACACTTTGTAACTGTTACCACGCCTCTCCCATTTCAGGTTTTTCAGGAAAAATGATCAAGCTGACCACCAACCACTTCCGGCTGACGTCGCGCCCGCAGTGGGCCCTGTACCAGTACCACGTTGGCTACAGCCCCGAGATGGAGGCGCGGCGCCTGCGCTCGGCCCTGCTCTTCCAGCACGAGGAGACCATCGGCAAGACCCACGCCTTCGACGGCTCCATTCTGTTCCTGCCCAAGAAGCTCGAGAGCAAGGTGCGCACGGGAATGCTCTTTTCATCACGACTTGCAGCTTAGTCTTGTTCCTTGCTACCTAGGTGAAGTTAGGGAGTTGATGTCCCACAAGAGGTATTTAGTTGGATTGAGGATATCAGTATAAGCCAGTTTGTACATGTAGAGAAATTTGGTAATGAACTTCTGGTTCTAATGGTTAATTTCTGCAGGCTAGAATCATCCTCTGCACAGAAGTGATAGTACAGACAGTATTTCTCCTTTCGTTTCCTTTGTGCTTACATCTTTTCATACCTCCTGTATTTTAACACCCCACATTATTGAAAGGGGGTGTGTGTGTATATATATATATGTATGTATATTTCACAGTCCTAGTGGGAGATCGAATCCACATTTCAGTTGGTCTTGAGCTATTTCTTGGAATAAAAATGGCTAAGTTGGGGTATGTGGCAAGGTTTTGGTAGCTGGAGGGGTCGGGGTGGCTCTGTGGGAAGGGGTCAGGGTCAGCCCTGTGTTGCACAGTCATTGCCAGCCAGCTCCACAGTGGACCCATTGCAGGCTAAAGATGAGACCATCAGCAAAGTTGTTGGCACCTCTGTGTATTTAAAAAGCAGGGAAAAGTTGCAGAGCAAAGAAAAATCTGAAAAGAAGGGAACACCAGAGGGAAAACACCTCTGTACTGGTGGTAGTCCCTGCCCTCTGTGCCTTGTGGCACTCCGTGCCTCACTGCAGGGTCTGGGTGCAGCCTGAGCTGTTCACAGGGGGGCCAGAGGAGTCCGGAGTGAAGCTGAGTTTGGAAAAGGGAGAGGGGAAGAGGTTTTCACTGTGTGTGCTAATCTTTGTCTTTTTGCTTCCCAGTATCTGAATCAGTAATTAAATACATATTAGTTGGCAATATGTTAAGTTTAGTTCCTCAAGCTGAGTCTTTTTCCTGTCATGGTAATGGGTAAGTGCTGTCCCTGCCTTCATCTTGAGTTCAGCTGCTCTGGGCAGAGCCCATTCTCCCCCCGAGTTGTGTTCACCCTGATGAGCAGAGTCCTTCAGGTTGTATTTCACAGTCCTGGTGGGAGATCAAATCCACATTTCAGTTAGTCTTGAATTATTGCTTGGAATAAAAATGGCTAAGTCCAGTTTGATATTACTGGAGCAAAATCCAGAGACAGTGCTGTTTGCTCTGGTTTTGTTAACCTCATTTCACTTTCTCAGGTTACTGAGCTGTTCAGTAGGACTCGAAATGGGGAGGATGTGAAGATAACAGTCACACTCACTAATGAGTTGCCACCCACTTCACCTACTTGTCTGCAGTTTTACAACATCATTTTTAGAAGGTTTGCTGTACAAGTTATGTCTTTATAAGAAGTTACTCTAAAAATATCTGAAGTAAGTTTTTCCATTCCAAGGAATAGGCTACAACTAATAATTATTATAAATGTAAATTTTTAAGCCTTTCTGGCTGCTGTTACCATGGGGCCAACCACATTTGCTAATACTGTAAAGTGCAGTTGTGTGTATTTCTGGGCTGTGTTAGTGTGAAAGGAGTTCATGCTGTTGTAGGCAGTTACAGCACCCCACCTTCCTTTGTGTGTGTGGGTTTGCCTCTTAAAGCAAATAACAGAGCAGGACATTGAACTGGAAGTTTCCTCCTTTGTGACTGTAGTCTTTCCTCTTAACCTTCCTACCTGGCTGTGTGGTTCACCTGAGGTTAGCCTGTTTGACTGCTACCTTCAGCTGCTTGGTGAAAGGTGAACTTGCACGTGAACTTCTCACCTGATTATTGTTAATAAGTGTCCCTGACCTTTATAAATTCAGTTTAATGAGAAGTTCATATTCCACATAGTCAGATAAACAATGAGTTTGTGTATAGGGATTGGACCATGCATGATGTGATGATGATAATAGTAGTAATGATGCTAAAGGACATCCCATTTTTCTATTTTTAGGCTTTTGAAGATGCTGAATTTGCAGCAGATTGGACGTAATTACTACAACCCCAGTGATCCAGTCAGCATCCCTAACCACAGGTGAGGCAGAAGCCCTTGGCCTTTGGAGGGGTGCTGGGGCAAGGGCTGCTGGCTGTCAGGGCTGCCCTGTTCCCTGCAGGATCCCTGCAGGGTGCTCCTGGCTGCTCTGGGCCTGCTCTACAAGTTGTTAGGCCTGAGTTTGCCTGGGGCCTGTGGCTGTGCTGCACTCCCTGCTGTTAATCTGACCTGTGCAGCCTGGCTGGTGGAAGGGACTGGGCAGTGTCCTGCTGGGTAAACTCCTGCTCTTTGTGTTCTGAACGTGTCCTGAATGCCTGCACACTTTGTGAGATCCTTAACAGCATGAAATGGATTATTTAGCTGACTAAAGATACTACCTGTAAAATATTTTTGATTTTGTTAACCTTCTAGAGCTTGTTTAGATTTGGATGATGGCTTCTTTGTGCCATCACTGCTCTCTGGTGTCTGTGCAAGTGAACAGGAATAAGGGGTGAGACTGGAGATGCTCTAAAGCACACTGAGATTTTGTGTGTTCTCTTTTGCCAGGCTGATGGTGTGGCTGGGCTTCACCAGCTCCATCCTGCAGTATGAGGAGAACATCATGCTGTGTGCAGACGTGAGCCACAAGGTTCTGCGTGGGGAGACAGTGCTGGACACCATGCACAGCCTTCACTCCCAGGTTGGAGAGGAGAGATTTAGAGACACCTGTGCTAAAGAGCTGATTGGTTTAATTGTCCTCACAAAGTAAGTCTTTTGTTGTCTGGGAGAGCTCTCTATGCTCCATGTCCTGAAGTAGGCAATAAAGCATCAGAAAGCCAAAAAATGCTGTCATTGTCCAGCTAGCAAACTGATCAGGGTGACAGCGTTTGCAAAAGCAGAAGTACATGCTGGTTTTCTTTGGTTTTATTACACTTCAGCTTGTGGTAGAATTGAGAGCCTATTACAATTAAAAGCTTGAAGTTATTACTTCTGAAAGGAGCAAAACTTCCAGCTTGCATGAGTACTGACAGTACTTTGTCATCCCAGTGTATTTCTTTTCTATTTGAGTTAAGATTTAAACAAAAAGTGATGAAATGTTTATGTAGGTACAATAACAGAACGTACAGAATTGATGACATCGACTGGGATAACAATCCAAAGAGTACCTTTAGAAAATCAGATGGTTCTGAGATGAGCTTTGTGGAGTACTACAAAAAGGTATGAAAATTGAACTGTGTGTTTTATGCTTTAACTTGGAACGTTCGGTCATTGTTCCAGGTTACGTAGGATGCGTGGATTTGTAATTCATAGTATTTTGAACAGAATTTTGTTTAAAGGACGCTGTGTAATCTGAGGTCAGTAGCTAACCTGCACAGCGTGGTTTGGTGGGAGTGCTCCACCCCAGGGAGTAGTTGCTCAGGCAGAAAGGCCAGGAGGGCTGCATGGATGAGCAAGGAGCCCTTGGGAAAACTCAAGCAGGAAGCATTGGGAAGGTGGAAGCAGGGACAGGTGATGTGGGAGGAATGCAGATACATTGTCACAGCATGCAGAACTGGGGTTGGGAAAGCCAGAGCACCTCTGGATTGAGTCTGTCATAGCTTGACCATTGAGGCCTCCCACTGTAATTGTCAGGTCTTCATGCATACCAGCCTCAGTGGAAACAGGATGGAGCTTAAGGTTATGGGAAGGCTAAATTTCAGCAGCTTCACGTGGCAGTCTTGTTTGATTCTTGTGATTTCCTAAATTGCCTTGTAGGGCAGGAGCTTTCTCCATTGCTGAACTGGAAGGAGCATCCCAATATTGAGTTAGATAGCCCAGGTGATAATGCCTCAAGCAAGGCACAGGCTTTGTGCCTTTGATGGCATCACTTGAGAGAATAGTGCTTCCCTGCTTTGCCTTTTCTGGCAAAACCAGTTCTTGTGAGGTGGACTGATTGAAAAAGGTTGCTAGTTGCTTTTGGGGTTGTTTGTTTTAGGAGCAATACTTCTTTTCCAGAGTTAGCTGCGTTATTCAGAAATGATGTTTGTTATGAGTAAATTAACATGCAGTCTGTATTTCTGATACAGCAATATAACATAGAAATTAGTGATTGGATGCAGCCTGTCCTGATCAGCCAGATGAAGAGGAAGAGAGGGAACATACAAGGATCTGTGGCTCTGATTCCAGAGCTGTGCTCCCTAACAGGTACTGTAGTATTTCTCCATATCAAAGCATCTGTCAAACCATAATGCCTACTGAGAGAGGTGTTCTGACAGCAGCTTTCTGCAGAGTTCAGGGAAACTGTTTTGTTTGTATAAATGTGAGTTTAGGAACACATGTTGTAGCTAAAAGATTGGATATTTAAATGGGACTGGAAGGTTTGAGGGGGTTTATTGTTGCATAGTGTTTAGCTGTGGTATCCAACATCAGCACTCTGCTAACTTGTAGAGTTTTGGTGGTAGAACTTTGGTTGAAAAAGAGCAATTCACTAGAAATTGATAATATTTTAAGATACATAAATAGATGTTTTGCTCTGAGATACTCACTTCGCACTAGCAGTACCTGAACATCTCAGCACTGTTTGTTTTGGTTTGAAAACGGAGCTGAAGAGCTGCAGTGCCTTGTGTGGTTTCCTCTCAAGTGCAAAAATTCAGGATTTTTTTCTATGCCAGTGGGGATGTATGTAAGCAACTGAAAACTTTGGCTACTGCTGCCACCGCTCCCTGTGTCTGCAGCACATGTATCACTTACCTGCACGAGCTGCAAGTTTAATTTTTACAGTCCTTCATGTTAACTTGGACTCAGAAAAGGCTTTGCTGTTGGCAGGGCTGACTGACAAGATGCGCAACGATTTCAACATGATGAAAGACTTGGCCATCCACACACGGCTGCCGCCTGAGCAGAGGCAGCGCGAGCTCGGGAGGCTTCTGAGCTACATCCAAAAGTATGGCACCCCCGTGTCCTCTGTCCCAGCAAAGATGTGTATAACAGACTTCTCACAGTCTTACTAGTTTTAAAACAGTCAGCAGGAACAAATTTCTCACATTTTTCATTCAAATCTTGTTTTTATACAGAGATGACAATGTTCAGAAGGAGCTCCGAAACTGGGGTTTAAGCTTTGATTATAAATCAGTGTCCTTTACAGGAAGAGTTGTTCAAGGAGAAAAGATCTTTCAATCAGGAACCATGGTAAATAATAAATCAGCTTCTAAAATCTTCTGGGTGTCTCACTGGTGGAACAAGTTCTTAAGGAAGGAAAGAGTACTTTTTGGTTTATAAGTGAAGGATAAAGAGTGAAAATGTTATACACAAGTCTTTGTCCAAGCAGGAGAATTGCAAATTTCTTAAGTTGTTCCCAAGCTGTGGTTGGGAAGGCACTCCATCACAATAGGGTCATCCTTGCAGAGCAGTCCTTCTGGTCAGGAACACAGTCTAGGAGAGCTGAGATGTTTCTCATTTGTTTCCAGCTATTAGAAAGGTACCAAGGCTTTCGGGTGAAACGCCACTAAGGATTTCAGCTGGGTAGGTGGAACACAGGCAGGGTGTGCTCAGTGACAGGCAGGGTGTGCTCAGTGACAGGCAGGGTGGCCCGTGTGAACAGTAGACGTGCTCAGTCAGAGGCTGTGTCAGACACGAGCTGTTTGCTCTGCAGTTCGATTACAACCCTCAGTTTGCCGACTGGACCAAGGAGACGCGCGGCGTGCCGCTGATCCGCTCGGTGCCCATGGACAGCTGGCTGCTCATCTACACCCGCCGCAACTACGACGTGGCCAACACCCTGCTGCAGAGCCTCTTCAAGGTCACCCCGTCCATGGGCATCCGCATGAACAGGCCCAACATGTGAGTGTCCTCGCTGAGCTGAGGGAAAGATACCACCGTGGTGGGCTGTGCGAGGGGAGGGCGTAGTGCGTCACACGGCCAATGTCTGGGAGGTTGTTAGTAAAGCAGAGTTCTTTCACTATGCAGATGGTTCCGTTTTCTCCAGTGATTGACTTTCCTTAGTCATACTTTTATTTCTGAGAGCTTTTCATATGCCAGAACTAAGAAGTATCAGACAGACAGTCATTGAGCAAACCCTTCTCTAAGGAGTATTTTCTGCTGACTTAGGATGTATTCTGATTCTGATCTGTTCTCCTTGCAAATATCCTCCCTTGAGTACCCATACTTGCCTTTAATTTTGAATTTCATTGTGTCTGGAAGCCTGAGTTTGGAGGTGATTCCTTTTAATCTGCAGATGTGTGAAAGTGGTTTGCTAATAGCTGTAAATGTGACATTTCATACACTATTGATGCACAGTGAGCTTTTGTGCTTTTGCTGGTTTCAATAGCTGTTAGTTGTTCTTTTTCTGTAAGCATTTCCTCTCTTTCTTTTCAGGATTGAAGTAGATGATAGAACAGAAGCATATTTAAGGGTTCTACAGCAAAGGGTTACCCCTGACATAGACATAGTATGTATTTGAATCCATAATTTCAAATCCTGGTTATCTCTGCAATGGGTGTTTAGTGGGATCTGCTCTCAGAAATGCAGCTCTGGGCTCCTGAGAATCCACTGTGTACCTGCCCATCCTCCTGTGCAAACCTAACACTGAGCATGGGTATCCTTCTGCATAAGAGCCTTTGGTTCTGAACTACAGACACTGACACTTGGCAGTTCTTTCTTTCACTGTGAACATTTGAATATTTCTCTTGAGCATAAGAACTTTTTCCTAAAGAACTGTTTGAGTGCTGTATAATGCAGCTGCTTACAGAGACTCTTTTTTCTTCAAAGGTAGTTTGTATCTTGTCTAGCTCCCGGAAGGATAAGTATGATGCCATCAAGAAATACCTGTGCACAGACTGCCCCATCCCCAGCCAGTGTGTGCTGGCTCGCACTCTGAGCAAGCCGCAGACCATCATGACGGTCGCCACGAAAATCGCCCTGCAGATGAACTGCAAAATGGGGGGAGAGCTCTGGAGCGTGGAGATCCCCGTGAGTACCTTCTTACCAATGCTAACTCCCCTTTGTTAGGCTTTGTTAAAAGCGTCCCTGTACGCACCCAACGCGGTGCTGTGGTTGCTTTGCAGCTGAAGCAGGTGATGATTGTGGGCATTGATTGTTACCATGACACCGTCTCTGGGAAGCAGTCCATCGCCGGCTTCGTCGCCAGCCTGAATCCAGCAGTCACACGGTAAGACAGGCTGCAAAGGTAAAAAAGCCTTCCTTTGACTGAAAAACAGCTTCGGTGTGGTGGTCCATCAGGAAAATTCAAAATTGGTTTGCTGTAATGGTTAGTATGAAATGTATTGTGAATTTTTCCCACTTGAAGGGGTGGTCTTGTCCCACATTGCTTGAGAGAGGGCTCAAGTGGTGGAGACATGGCTGAGATAAATAGAGAGCATCAAGGTGAGAGGGTCTTTCCCCTTTTGAGTTGATTGGTGTGAAAGGCTTTTCTTGGTTGAGAAGAATTTTTAAGTCATGCTATGACACTTTTACCACACGGGGAGTATTCTCATAGAAGCCCAGCTCTTCCTTGGCTGCATTGACCCACAAGACCCGTAAAGACTAAGTGGTCATGGGCATTTTAAAAATAACTTCATTGCAGTAAGCCTGGCAGTGCTTTGAAGTCTCTTTCATTCTGTTCTTCACAGGTGGTTCTCCCGCTGCGTTGTTCAAAGTCGTGGGCAAGAACTTGTGGATGGAATCAAAACCTGCTTGCAAAGTAAGGGAAGGAAAGGGAAGGAGTTCTGCTCTTGTGGAGCCAGATATAAGAACTTAGAATTCAGCTTCCTCAAAACCCTCCTCTCCTGCTGGCCTGAGGGGAGGCTTTACCAGCCTGCACTTGGATAGCAACAGATTAAACATTCCCTTACAAATACTGCTGAACACAAATAGCATCTTGTGTAAATCTTTCACTGATTCCCACATTCCTTTGCAATAATTAAAAACTGAGCAGTGCACTTCCAAGAATGCTTTAAGGGAGTCTGATTTCAAGGAGGGCTCACAGTTCCTGCTATGAGAGGCAGCAGAGCAGGTGTGTCCTTGTGTCCTTTCTGTTTGTGGGTGCACAGGCAAACCAGAGCTCTTCTTGCAGGTATGTTTTGTAGCACGATGCTGACCCATTTCAGGTTACTGAAGGATTGAGGACCTTACTTTTCCAACTTACTGCTGTTTTTCTAGGAATAAAAATCCTTTTTTTGTTTTGGAATGAATTGACATTACAACTAATGGCTTTTTCTCTTGTTTTTTTAAGCTGCTCTGAGGAACTGGTCCAAATGGAATAAGGGTTTGCCCTCTCGTATCTTTGTGTATCGTGATGGTGTTGGAGATGGACAACTCAATACTTTGGTGAATTATGAAGTGCCTCAATTTCTGGATTGCTTGAAGAGTATTGGCACTGACTACAGGTAAATCTGCTTCTACCAACCCTCTTCTTTACACTGCCAGAGGAATAAACACTGGGGCACAGAACGAGGCTGTGGATGGAGACTGTGTTGTCTTTCCATCCTGATTTTCACCTGAGCTCAGATAACTGCTTTTCTGATGATTATTTACATGATTTCAGATACTTGACTTATAATATAATAGGAAAATTCTTAGTACATGCACCACATGACTGCCATACACATGAGTGCACATCCACTCTTCGGGCATTCTTGGTGGAAGTGATAATTTACTTTTTCCCCACTGGTTGGTCATAGCTTGACAGTTACATGTCTGCTAAGGCCATTTTTTTTTTCTTTCCACTTCTTAAAGGAAGGTGTCCAGTCACTTATATTTTCAACATTCTGCTTTGAAACTTATCAACTGCAGTGACTTAATCTGCTCTGAAAAATAAAATATTTCCTTACACTGCAGGCAAGCAGAGAAATTAAAGCACTCAGTTCTTCTGTTTAGCTTTGTTAATGGCTTTACCAAAAATACTGTTAAGACACAGTGTTTTGTATAGGAAACAAGGGGGTAGAGAGTAGAAATCCAGTTTTGAGTTAGAAAATCCCTTTTTGATCCATTTTCTTCTCTGTGAAGTTAAAGGAATGTTGGATTGGTGAAAAATAATGTGAATGTTGTATCCAAGTAAAAATCTAAAGTTGTGAACAATGTGTTATTTAATCTGAATCAGTAAAGACTTACATGTGAAATTAATGCCTGGGAACTCCAGAGAATCTTCTCCTGAAGCACTCCTATTGCAGTTTTCTGGGGGAGTATTGTTTTTCCCTTTTCCTTTCTTTTAGCCCGAGACTCACTGTGATTGTGGTGAAGAAACGAGTGGGTGCCAGGTTCTTTGCAGAGATTGGGGGAGGACTCAAAAACCCACCCCCTGGGACTGTTGTGGACACAGTGGTGACCAGACCAGAGTGGTGAGTTCCTGCAGAGGTCACACTGCTCCTGCCAGCAGCCTGGCCAGGAAGGAAATACATCCTGCAGTACATGGACTGTAGGATCAAGTGTAAAAATACTTCCCACACTTTTGTGGTGCAGGGGCTGCAGAAAATGAGCACTGTAAGCTAAGTGCGTGTGCAGGGTTGTTACCAGGAGGAAAATGGGCTAGAACAAATAGTTAAGTTGTTGTGGTCTCAAGACCTGGTCCACAGAATAGGGTTATCCACGTTCCTCCGGGTCCCTGGCCTTTCAGACAGAGGAAGCTGCTGGGCCAGAGCCTGGGCATCCTCTGGGGTGTACTCAATAAGCATGAAGGGACTGCACGGGCCAGCTGCAGGGCACTTGGGTCTTTCTGAGGCACACCCTTCAGTGACGGGCGGGTGGGCTCTGCCCCTGTGCAGGTACGACTTCTTCGTGGTGAGCCAGACGGTGAAGAACGGCTGCGTGGCCCCCACCCACTACAACGTGATCTACGACACCAGCCAGCTGAAACCCGACCACGTGCAGCGCCTGACCTACAAGCTGTGCCACATGTACTACAACTGGTCGGTGAGTGCCCTGGCAGGCACAGTGTGCCTCTGGGCAGGCACAGCCTGCAGCACCTGCAGCAGCTGGCCTTGAGAGCCTGCGAGCATGCCTCTGCCTAGAGGGGTGGAGGACTGATGGTTCACAGTTACCTGGTCTCTCTGAAGGTTACTGCAGTCTGTATCCTCCCTAGTGTACACTTGTTGTGAGTATTGCTCCCAAATTCTGTCAGAAGCAAAATGGAAGTAATTGCTTACCTGCAGAAGTATCTAGTCCTTGATGGAGGTGGAGGTGTGTTGCTGCAGTGCCTCGAGGCCTCTGCTGCACCCCCAGCTCAGCCGTGCCTGAGGTGTGCTCCAGCTCTGTCACTTCAGCAGCCACAAGCACCAGACAGGCCTGAGCCCACGTCCCCCCTTCTGCAAGGGCCAGCACTGAGTGTAAACCTGGGAAAGAGGTGCAGGAGGGCACTGGAGTTGGGAGCTTGGGGTTTATTGCATCTGTTCTTCTGTTCTGCTGGGGGTGTGTATACAGTTGTTTCCACCACAAATGAGCATAAACAACAGGGAATACAAATTTCACAAGTATGCAGACTTCAGAGGTCCAGGGGTCTTTGTTACAGTGACTCCATGCTTATTTAAATTACCTGAAAATAATTGCCTTTTTTCTTCTTTCCCCTTTCTGCAGGGTATTATCAGAGTACCTGCTCCTTGCCAGTACGCTCATAAATTGGCTTTCCTTGTGGGTCAGAGCATTCACAGAGAACCAAACCTGACGCTTTCAGACAGACTGTACTACCTCTGAAGCTGAGTTAGCAGCCAAGCAGAAGAGAGCAGCTCCTCTCCAGGGAATGTAGAATTGTCTGGGCTTTTGGTTGAGTCTTGGTTTTTCGTAAGAGACATGCACAGGATGTGTGTAGTTATGGAAATTATTTTATTTTCACTGTACCGAGGAAAAGCTTGAGATTTGCATTTTGAACAGAATAGAATAATTACATAAATTTTTATGGGTTTTGGTACTTATTTAGTTACTAAAGTTTTTCTCAAATTCTTCCCAGAAGTTTATTGGTTGTTCTTATTTACATTTTGAGAATTACAGAATTACAGAATTACTTCTTGCGTGGGAGATAGAGAGTTAAGCAGACCAGAATCCAAACTTCCAGCTAGTGTTTACCCTTCTGATTTTCAAAATGCTTCAATATTGTTGATTCCTTGTTTTTCTTGGTTAAAATGAGGGCCAGATTTGTCTCCTGAACTGTTTCATACCTTAGAGGAGGTGACCAGATGCTGTTGGTTACCAAGGCTTTGTTGGCAGGCTGTAGGTGATGCAGAACCTTGGAAGGGTTGGCACAGTTGTCCTTGGGAGGGATTTGCAGAGCAGCCACAAACTGTGGCTCTGCCTGGGGGCAGTGAGGGCTGTGCCAGGCTGGGGGCTGCTGTGTGTGCCAGCCCCCAGGGCTCAGGGGCAGCCCTTGTTTTTCTTGGTTAAAATGAGGGCCAGATTTGTCTCCTGAACTGTTTCATACCTTAGAGGAGGTGACCAGATGCTGTTGGTTACCAAGGCTTTGTTGGCAGGCTGTAGGTGATGCAGAACCTTGGAAGGGTTGGCACAGTTGTCCTTGGGAGGGATTTGCAGAGCAGCCACAAACTGTGGCTCTGCCTGGGGGCAGTGAGGGCTGTGCCAGGCTCGGGCTGCTGTGTGTGCCAACCCCCAGGGCTCAGGGGCAGCCCAGGGCTCAGGGGCAGCCCTGGGCTCTGCTGCTCTGCCTGTAGCTCACAGGAGAGGGCTGCAGACAGCTGAACTGCTGGGCTGGAGCTGTGTGACAGCTTCCTAACTGAGAAATGCCATTTCCAGCAGGGCCCAGCAGTGCCCTGGCAGCCTTGGGGGTTTGGTTTTGTGCTTCCAGGCAAGGGAAGCAGCCCTGGTTTGTTCGTGTCTGAGGTTTTCATTGGTCACTGTTCTGCAGCCCATTTTGTGAAACTAACAGCAGGTGTGGGGAGGGAGGTTGATGTCAGATTTGTGCAGTACTAGAGTCAAACTACTGCACGTGGAGAAATTCAGATTAGTGCTGGTTGTCTTAACCACCTTGTTGTGAACTTGTTGCTTTTCTTTATGAGATTTGAATAAAGTTGTTGCTGTAATCCTTGCCCGTGTGGGCCTGTTCTGTGTATTTTGTACTTCACTGCAGGGCTTTGGGCACAGGTGGGACAAGGGCTGGAGTAACTTTGAAACCCTTTTTTACCTCTGGGAAGCTCCTGCAGCTGGAGGAGCCTTTCTTTATCCTGCAGTAAACTTCAGCAGCCATGGACAGTTCTGAAGAAAGGCTGACACAGTGGATTTATGAAACATACTGCACTCTACAAAATATCAAATGATTTATTTATATAAAATATAATACACAACGCTTGTACACATGCACACACCCACACAGTACTTTACCACAAATGTAGGCCAGTTATTGTCTTTAATTAAATGTTATAATCTAGCACACAGTATTTTACAGTCATTTACATTGTTATCTGAAGACACAATGGGGAAGCTTTGATCATTCATTTATAAACCTTCCATAAATTACAAAAAGAAAGGCAGTCTGAAAAGTATGTATAAACAGTAAAAACAATTTACAAATGGACAAGAATTACAAAATAGTACCAGCCAATGACTGCCATCAGTGTGTAGGGTTGTTTTTTGTGATATGCCAATGCTGAGTTGGGGTTGGTGGAGCCTGCTGCAGCCTCGCAGGGCTGAGGCTGTGACACACTTTGTCCTTCACTGTGCATGGACCTGAGCCTCACTCTGACAGCAGCAGCATGAAAATGCCTTTAACCTAGGGCTGCCCCTCCACAGAAAACAAACGGAGAGTAAGGGGGTTGGTGTGCAGCTGGCTGTTCCCAGTCGCTTAGAGCAGGGAACCAGGAACCCCAAACTGGGCTTGGAGGGGCTCTGAGTAACTGACACTGCCTGGGTCCAGGAGGGACAATGGCAAAGCAGGACAAGGTTGGGTTTTACTGGGGCAGCAACAACTGAAAAGCATTTAGCACAGCACTTGCACACGCCCAGGAGTCCAGCAGCAGGGCTGGGGGCAGGAGCAGTGCTCACTCGTGGGGAGGGGGATGGAGACAGCTGAACACACAGGACATACAAAGTGTACGCTGCATATTTATTAGACAGTACAAATCATTGTGCATTAATAAGGCAAAACATCAAGGCTGATTCAACTAGGAGTTTCAAGACCATTTCTGTTAATGATTGGATACAGTGGGGTGATCTCTGAACTAGCAAACAGTGAAGAGTTTTCTCCCCCCACTCATGGTTAAAGGAGAATAAAGGCTGAGATTTTTCAATGGAGTTGCAGGTGTTGAGATGACTTCAACTAAAACCGTGTTCTTCTGGTCTTAAACCCATAACTTACTTTCTTTTTTTTTTCTTTTTTTTTTTTTAAACTTTTTAAAAAACGTTTTTGCAACAACAAATCCATTTCCCTCTCTTTCTTGCTGTTTTGATTCAGCAATTGGCATGATTCTATTGATGTCAGAGTTAAAAACACAACGGTCTGGTAAAGTACTGCATAGTCATGAAAGCCCTAGTTTCAATTAAAAAAAAAAAAAGTACACAGACTGGAAGCTTTACAAGTTGTCCAGGAGCACATGACTCATTTCACTGCACCAAGCTTTTTCAGCAGTTTCTTGCCTTTGGAAAGCAGCCCCTTTTTCTTTTTCGAGGCCAGGTCCCTGCCTCTCGCGGGGCCACCCGAGCCCAGCAGGGGTGACGGAGGTGACCCGGCATGGAGGTGGACTGTGGGGGAAGGTGCTCGCCGGGCTGTACCTGTATTCTCAGGAGGAACCTAGTAGGTACATTGTTATCATTTATTCAATCTCTGAACGCTCCAAAGCCATCAGCAGCAAGAAACTTGGTAACATCCCTTGTCCCATCACCCGCTTAAACAAAAGGGCTTCTCTCCTCTCTGGCTTAAAATACTGCGTGGGCTCATGGGAAGTACATCAATTTAGAGAAAAAAAAAATAGAAATCAAAACCCCCCCAATAAAGCCCAGTTTTGGTTATACCTTTTTAAAGGAAATGTTGGATACACTTGCTTTGCCAGAATTCTGGCCACAAAAGCCACAAAACTGGCTTTGGTTTTTCATTTCAGTACTCTGACAGTACTAAAATGGAGAGGGATACTTTCAGCTATAGATTTAAGAAAAATAAACATGTTAATTACTACAGATTAGCAATCTATAGAAGCCAAACTCTTTTCAGAAGAAATTACTTAAAATGCTACATGATCACTTACTTTTTAATGTCCTTTAAATGCCTTTTCTTTAAAATTGGCTAGCAAACTTTATGTACAGATTAGAGAAGATGGCACACTGGCTTAAAAACAAAAAAAAAAAAGGAAAAAGAAAAAGCTAAAATGAACCTTAATTGCAATCAAAGAAAGCTTAAAGGCCCTGAGTGCTCGATGTGTATGCTGCAGCTATGAGGTTGTTAGATGACAGCATTCCTAAATATTTTGAACAGCTTTTTTTTTTTTTTCAGTCACCAAAAGCACTTGGATGAAAATGCTAAAATTACATATACTCAGGCTATCCTAACTACAGTGCCCAGCTGGCAAAATGGTTACTATCAATTCAGGTGATATTTTCATAGTAGAATCCATGCTGTAGGGAGGCCTGCTAGCTCGTAGTTCAAGTTAAAACAGCAGCAGTTGACTGGCTCCTTGTGCAACAGGGAGTTAAGCAAAGGGGCTTCAAGCCTACTTTGATTTTAAATCAAGGTCTAATTCTAATGAAAAAAAAAAAAGAAAACCAAACCAAAACAACTTGGTAAAGCACCCCAACGTACACCTGAAGATACCAGATATCGAGTCTAATGCATTCATTCAGTGAGCTGCATGTTTCAGGTCGAGACTCTATTGCATTGGTAAACCAAACAGTTGCTAATATTGCAAATGTACAGAATATTGTTGCTAATATTGCAAATGTACAGAATCTTGTTGCTAATATTGCAAATGTACACTCCTAGGAACGATCCGAGGGAATTGGACCACAGGGAGGGGCTTTTTTCAGAAGTTTGAATAGTTGGTCTTAGGCAAACTGGGGTATAATCCACTGTGGAAAACACATTTTAAGGCAGACAATTTAAGTAGCTGTGTTTGAGTGCAGTGAGTTTCAGAGCCAACTATCCCCTTGTAAACTACCGTCCGTGCCAGCGGCACTGCTGCTGCTGCAGGGGCTGCAGCTGTTGTGCTTTTCTCTTGACACAGGAGCTTGGAATTTTTACATCCCAGCTTGGCTAGCAATGCAATATGCAGCTTTGTTTGTAGGGTAGTTAGACATCAAACTCTCCTTTCTATGTAAACATAAACATTGAGCTCGGGAAGAAATATGTTCCAAACGCTGACCTTGCAAAGGGAGGGCTGATCTGTGTCCTGATTTAAAGGATTTGGCTCCCAAGAAAGGAGAGGACTTGACTGGGTACAGCAAAGGCATGCAGCCTGTTCTTCTGTGGCCAAGGGGTTTGGAGACATATTTCTTTTCTTTTCCCCACAATTAAGTTTCAAGACTTGCATTAGATAGCCAGGTAGCTTTAATTGAGACCTCTATTGGTATCTTCAGTTGCTCACTTACGTGAAGGCTACATTGCCTTATTAAGGTGTGAAATGAACACTCTTCTTCTGTTTCCAAGCAGATGAGCAAAGAAATAAAAATATATATAAAATATATAATATATAAAAGTATTGCAGTGATGAAACAAAACCAAAAATGAGATACTCTAAACATGATTAATTCTTTCATGGAAGAGAAATCTCTGAGCAATTAATTATCACCAGTTGGAACGGGAAGTTGTGAGGATTAAGAAATGAGCACTGCCAGTCCAGCAGCTGCAGTTACAGTTTGTATTTAGAGGAACACTGGTACCAGTCTTTTGTGCACAAGAACCTTTTTAGCAAGAGCAGGTGAGAAGCTTTGGGAAATAACTACCACCAGGAAAAGCTGCTTCAATTCAGGTTATAAAGGACGGTACTGCAATGCCTGCAATCAAGCAGCCAATTTCGTTTCTCCATTTACAAATGTAACGAGCCAGCGAAGGCCGAAGCCATTTTCCCTCACGTTTTATTTTATATATGTGAAAGATAACTTTAAAAGGGCGAATGAATTTAAACGTGATGTCGGGATGATGTGTGAACTGTACACGAGACGGAATGGAAGGGGTGGAGCTCAGGGGCTGCTTACCCTTTTGGCCTTGGGGCGCAGGGCCGCGTCGTGGGCGTAGCGCGAGGGCGCCTCGGACAGAAACACTTCCACATCATCAGGCACTTCTTCGAGGAAGTTGGAAGGAACCAGCCCCTTCTGCCCGTTGAGCTCACCCTGCGAGCACAGGCAAGGCCCAGTGAGCTCTCACCTCACCACATTTGTTCCCAAGGAGGCAGGGACATATTTTTGCCTATTTCAAAGCTGGCGAGGAAGAGGAAATCCCCATCTAAGGCCCCTGGGGATGCCGAGAGCTCTCACAATTCCAATCCCCTCCCCAGGCTGGTGTTTGGCGAGGCTGGGAGCAGTTTGGGGCGGGCCAGCAGAGCCAACTTACGTAGTAAAATCCATCTTCATCGATCTCACCAAAGACAGTGATGATGTCCCCAGTGCAGAAGGTCAGCTCGGCCTGCAGGGGAGGAGCAGACAGGCAAAGATCAGCCTTTTCTTATTCACAGGCAATCCATTCACATTCATGCTAAGACACTGGTGAACCCAAACTGATCCTTGAGCGCCAAACCTCTTGTTTCTTTCCTTGGGGTTTTTAACTCAGCTTGCTAAGCCTGAGGTGCAGAACAGCCCAGGGAGCTGCTGAGGAGCTCTGCATGTCACCCAGCCCAGCCCTGAGGCACAAGAATGTTTTTAACTCAGCTTGCTAAGCCTGAGGTGCAGAACAGCCCAGGGAGCTGCTGAGGTCTCTGCACATCACCCAGCCCAGCCCTGAGGCACAACCTCCTGCACTGGAGCTGTGCTGGATTCTCTTCAAAAACCTCCACAATGGGCAGCTCCTCTCTGAGAGCACACAGTGCACGGGGCTCTTTTAATTGTCTGGGGCTCAAATGCAATTAGGGCGGGGCTTTTAAATTATGTTTAATTTCCTGTGGTCAAGGGAGAGAGAGCAAACAAAATCTTTGCAATACATCAGCACAATGTATTTGATTTGTTGGCCAAACTACTCTGAAACACCATAATTTAGAAAAAGATTTGGTTCCACAAGAAACAGAAAACAACCCAGGCTGTGTTTTAAAGCACCAAGTCCCACATATTTCAAATCTCACTTTCTCCTTCTCCAATTCACCAATTCAAACCAAACCAAACAACGTTTCAAAGGAAGCCCCCAGGTTCTGTGCCCCCGGGGCGCCCCCAGCCCCACGGGCTCTGCCCCTACCTCCACATCCACGTTGGGGGAGCTCTCCCTGGGGTCGTAGTCATAGAGAGCCACCATCCTCCTGGTGGCCAGCGGCTGCTGCCGGCCACCGCGCCGGCCACCGCGCTCTGCTGGGGACAGAGAGGGTCACTGCCACGGGTACTCAGGTACGCTGACACGGCTACTCGGGTACTGATACACGTACTGCCACGGGTACTCGGGTACTGATACAGGTACTGCCATGGGTACTGCCACGGGTACTTGGGTACTGATACAGGTACTGCCACGGGTACTCGGGTACTGATACAGGTACTGCCATGGGTACTGCCACGGGTACTGCAGGTACTGATAAAGGTACTCAGGTATGGATACAGGCACTGCAGGTACTGATAAAGGTATTCAGGTACTGCCGTACTCGGGTACTGATACACGTACTGCCACGGGTACTCGGGTACTGATACAGGTACTCGGGTACTGCCATGGGTACTGCCACAGGCACTGCAGGTACTGATACAGATACTCAGGTATTGATAAAGGTACTGCAGGTACTGCCACAAGAACTGCAGGTACTGATAAAGGTGCTCAGGTATGGATACAGGCCCTGCAGCCCTGCCAAAGCACAGCCCTGCAGCTGCTGCTGCTCAGGGCCTGCCCAGCAGAGCAGCAGCAGTGTGGCCCTGCCCTGGCACAGGTAAAAGCCTCCCCCTTTATCCACCCACAGGTAAGGGTAAAAGCCTCCCCCTTTATCCACCCACAGGTAAGGGTAAAAGCCTCCCCCTTTATCCACCCACAGGTAAGGGTGTGCAGCCACGCACGGCTCACAAACAAGAACTAACTGTGCCCTGCCTCTCTCTGTTCTGAGGCACAGAACCCTCAGCCCCCTGTGCACAGCAGACTCCACAGCTCAGGGACTGTGCTCTGTGCCCAGAAATATTTCAGGACACAAAACCCACTTTTATTTCATTTTAAATCAGAAAAGAAAGCAACAAGTGGAGTGGTGAAGCTGCAGGCCCCCATTTGCAGCCAATGCTATCACCAAGGTCAGATTTTACTTGTATAAAGTCACGCAGACACTGACACAGAATGTATCCCCTGGGACAGTAAATTACTGCAGCTGCACCTGCACAAAAACAAGAGGTGAAGGGGATGCAGCCAGGCCAAGAGGCCCAAGTGTGAAGGGAAATGTCTGTATTTTCCCTTACCGATTTTCTCAATTGGAGTGTTCAGAGGAAGGAAACCTTGTTTAAGAAGCTGATCCATCATCTCTTCATCATCTGCCTGTATCTCAGAGACCATATTGCACGGGATAAGGCCAACTCTTGCACAGGTTTCTCCACGGTAAAACCCATCAGCATCTTTGTCCCCATAAACCTGATATTCAAAGAACGACCATATTGGTCAAAGAGGTGTTAGCATTCAGGAGCTTTAGAGCAGGCTAAGGGTGACTAAAGCACAGGTGAAACTGCAGTTTAGATGTGGAATTATAGCTGTGGACCACTCTGACTTAGGTTATAAAACTGGAATTGTTATATTTGATTGAAGTGTGACTTCAGATACATAAGCAGAATTTGGACTTTTTTTTTGTTGTTGGCAGTGAAAGGGGCAAAAAAGTGCATTAAAAGCCATCAGTTTCTCACTGTGCTGAGCCAGATGCTCACTTGATGTTTATGGAATTACTATGGCACTATATTCAAAATGAAACATTTGCAAAATGGTGCCAAAATGTTATTATTTTGCTGGTGGTGGCCAGCAGAGCAGCTCCCAGGCTGCAAACCACCACCAAACTGTCAGGAAAGGGACCAGAAACACCCAGTGCAGGGCTTGAATTCCTCTGGAGCAGAGCTCAGAGCTGGGGAATGCAGCAGCTCTGCTCCGGTAGCACAGCAGCACTTGTGCCAAGACCCTCTCTGGAGCAGCTCTCCTGCAGGTTTGTGCAGGGGACACTGCGAGCTTCAGTCACAATGCTGGGCTTAGCCTGAAGCTTTAATCGGGACTGGCCCTGACTATCTACAGCAACTGGGAGATTTCTGTGATCATTTTGAAGCCATCAGCACCAGACATTAATTACCAGCTCCAGTGAGATTTGCAGCCTGAACCTCTGGAGGGAAAGCCCTGGGCTCTGATCACACAGGCAGCTTTCTCCAGGGTACAAAGGAGAGCCTGTTTGTAGAAGTGGTTTTGTAGAAGTGTCGTGTTTCCTCTGGCTCCAGCTCTCACCTTAATGATCTGTCCCTCCTTGAACGGCAGCTCCTCCTCTGCAGCATCGGGGTTCGGGGACATGGTCAGCGGGTCGTAGTCAAAAAGTGCAACAAAGATTCTTGTAGAGAGATCCTCTGTGCCAGCATCTGTTTCAGATTCCTCATAAATGTCTGGAGAAAGACGGTCATGACCCCCGTAGCCATCTGTGAAAGCAAATCCAGAAAAGAACAACTCAGTAATGCAAGTTGGCCCCAGCATCCAACTCTCCCATTAATATCTGAAGCATGTTTGGCATTTCAGTGAAGAAGCCCCAAACCTCACTGCATGTCCTGTAAAGCTTGGTGGGTTTCGGGGTTTTTTTTATTAGCAAGTTTCTATTTTAAAGAAAAGCTTCTAAAACCTGCACTGGAAGCTGGGCTGATTTCCTGTACCAGACTGACATTTGCACAAAAGCCATTTTTGTTAGGTTTGCAAGAGTTTGCCATGAATTAATGAAAAAGTAGTCCAGAGACTGGCAAGTGAACACGAAATGATGGCTGATGAATGGCAGGGTGCATGGCTGGATGGAGGCCACACTGATCCCACTGACCATGAAGTAACCTGCCAGCAGATTTGAGGTGAGATCCAGCTCTGTCTGAGCTTCAGCAAGCTTGAACAATCTCAGCAGCCACCAAGGGGAACGGAGAGCTCCCAGCAGTGCCAGGGAGTGCTGACCTGCCCTGGGAAGCCCAGCAGGCTCCTGCAGCAGGGCTGCCTGCAGCCCATTCCACCCCTCTGAGCCAGGAGCAGCCTGGCTCCACGCTAGAGCCTGCTGCTGGGTTTTAAGGATTTCCTCCCAGCTCTGTTGGTTTTTAAGGATTTCCTCCCAAGTCTGAGGCTGCACAACCAGGAATGCACCGCTCTGTCCAACTAACCAATGGAAGGGACCAGCAGGGGCCGAGACCTTTGTGGCACTGCACTGCCATGGGAGGACCTTCGCCCTGCATGCTCCACCCTGTCAGGCCGTCCTGCAGAGGCTGGGTTACCTAAAAGCTAAAAAACAACAACAGAAAGAACAGGCTCGTCAGTTCCATGCATGGCAACATCGTGGTTACACGGCGGGACATGAATCAGGTCAATCACAATTGGAAGCGTAAGCTCTAAAGGCAACTAAACTTAGCTTTTAACTGAAAGGTTAGCTGAAAAGTGAGTACTGCTGCCTGGCAAACCTGCAAAAGAAAATAAATGGTTCCCTGATTTATGGCAGAGCTTTGTAAACCAGCAGTCACACATCAGAACGAAAAGAAAAGAAAAGAATAATTTCTGAAATATTCTTTTGCCTTTGTTGTTGCGGCTAAGGTGGCGTTTGGGTGTCCTGAAGAGTGGCACGGGCAGGCTGAGCTGTGCAGGTGGGGCACCTGGCAGGGCTCACCTGGCAGGGCACACCTGGCAGGGCACACCTGGCAGTCCCAGCTCTGGAGGTGCAGCAGGGAGCCAGGGCACTCCTGGTGTCCCCGGGCACTCCTGGTGGCCCTGGGCACTCCTGGTGGCCCTGGGCACTCTGGTCCTGGCCTGGCAGGGTCTGCACGGTCAGGGCAATGCAGGAGGGCTGCAGGCTCCACCTGGGCACAGCTGGCGCAGCTGCCTGGGGCCTGCAGGGGCTGTGGCAGCTCTCCAGAGCTTGTCCTGCTGTCACTGGCATGAGCCCAGCCCGGGCACCACTTCTGCTGGGAGGAGCTGCAGGGGTGATTGCAGCCTGGGCTGGCAGCTCAGGAGCAGCAGTGAGCTCTGCTCTGTGTGTGCAGTGAGTGTGCAGCCCGGGTGCTGCAGGCAGGGCTGCAGGGCTGCCTCTGCTCTCCTCTCACAATGCAGTGTGCAGCCCGGGTGCTGCAGGGCTGCCTCTGCTCTGCTCTCACAATGCAGTGTGCACCCTGCATGCTGCAGGGCTGCCTCTCCTCTCACAATGCAGTGTGCAGCCCGGGTGCTGCAGGGCTGCCTCTGCTCTCCTCTCACAATGCAGTGTGCACCCTGGGTGCTGCAGGCAGGGCTGCAGGGCTGCCTCTGCTCTCCTCTCACAATGCAGTGTGCCCCCTGGGTGCTGCAGGCAGGGCTGCAGGGCTGCCTCTGCTCTCCTCTCACAATGCAGTGTGCAGCCCGGGTGCTGCAGGGCTGCCTCTGCTCTCCTCTCACAATGCAGTGTGCACCCTGGGTGCTGCAGGCAGGGCTGCAGGGCTGGCTCTGCTCTCCTGTCACAATGCAGTGTGCAGCCCGGGTGCTGCAGGGCTGCCTCTGCTCTCCTCTCACAATGCAGTGTGCACCCTGCGTGCTGCAGGGCTGGCTCTGCTCTCCTCTCAAAATGCAGTGTGCACCCTATGAGCCCAGCCCGGGCACCACTTCTGCTGGGAGGAGCTGCAGGGGTGATTGCAGCCTGGGCTGGCAGCTCAGGAGCAGCAGTGAGCTCTGCTCTGTGTGTGCAGTGAGTGTGCAGCCCGGGTGCTGCAGGCAGGGCTGCAGGGCTGGCTCTGCTCTCCTGTCACAATGCAGTGTGCAGCCCGGGTGCTGCAGGGCTGCCTCTGCTCTCCTCTCACAATGCAGTGTGCAGCCCGGGTGCTGCAGGGCTGCCTCTGCTCTCCTCTCACAATGCAGTGTGCAGCCCGGGTGCTGCAGGGCTGCCTCTGCTCCCTGGGGATGCATCCTCACACCTGGAGCTCCTCTGGACATTACTGGGCAGCAATGCAATCAGGCAAGGTGCTGCAGAGCATCCCTGGCAGGGGGGAGTGGCCCGGGCTCCCCTGGCAGCAGCTCTGGGCCTGCATGCTCTGCAGAGATGCAGTCTGCAACTCCAAAGGCAACAAGAGATGGTCTAACAAGGACGGCAGCGTGGTGACAGCGCAGAGATAAGGCAGAAAATGAGAATGATGAAGCTGTGACTCCATAAATCTGGGTCACCGTCACACTGGGGGAGAATCTTGGTTCTTGTCTTGAGATGTTCCATGATAAAGAGCATATCCTGAAAATTCTGGGAATGAGATGAATAAAAACAACACGATGAAATGAATTCCTTGACAATAATTAAAAAAAAAATTAAAAATATGGATGAAACATTTCTCCAGTTAAAAATGCAGCTTTTTTTTTTTTTTTTACTTTAGAGCAACATTCAGATGGGCAAAATAAAGAAAAGCAATCTTTTGGAAAAATTATAGTTCAGCTAACCCTTAATTAAAATTTAGATTCAGTTGTCCTTTAATAAAAGCAGCCATTATAGCAATTTGTTTGGGGGGAAAATCATTGCAAAGCAAATTAATCTGATTTCAGCATGACACTAAAGAGAACCATAAATGAAAATGCAGAGTAATAAACGAAAACGAATGGGGAAGAAAAAAATAATGGGGGGGAAATGTAGCAGATGGGTCCAAAGGACGGACTTTAAAAATCAATTTGGGGAAAAAAAAGAAAAAAGGACAACAACAAAAAGAAAGAACAAAAAAAAAGAGACTAAAGAAAACAGACTGATTTGGCAAGCAGATGTTAGAAGGAAGATACTTCACACACCAGAGAGTCTTCTGCATCTCTGAGGGGTGGCTTTGCAAGGACAGCAGCTGCCCTAGAGCCTGGCTGAGGGTGGCTCCTCCAGCCCCCCTGCCCCTCCTGGGCTCTGCGGCCCCCGCTGCCCTGGGCCCCCCCGGCCGGGGCTGCCAGCTCCCCGAAATCCTCCTCGATGCTGCTCTGCCTGGTCAGGGTCCTCCTGCGGGCCAGCAGCGGCCGGGAGCCCCTCCGGCAGGGACAGGGCTCGGGGGGCTGCGCTCCGGCAGCGTGCCGGGGCTGCTCTTCATCGCTGCCCCTTTGGGGTCTGAAACTGTGCTGGGACTCCTCTTCATCACTGCCCTTCCTGTGGCTGAAACTGTGCTGGGGCTGCTCTTCATCACTGCCCCCCTGGGGTCTGAAACTGTGCCAGGGCTGCTCTTCATCACTGCCCCCCTGGGGTCTGAAACTGTGCCAGGGCTGCTCTTCATCACTGCCCCCCTGGGGTCTGAAACTGTGCCAGGGCTGCTCTTCATCACTGCCCCCCTGGGGTCTGAAACTGTGCCAGGGCTGCTCTTCATCACTGCCCCTCCTGTGGCTGAAACTGTGCCGGGGGTGCTCTTCATCGCTGCCCCTCTGGGGTCTGACACCAAACCGCGACCACTCTTCCTCACTGCCACTCCTGTGTCTGAAACTGTGCCGGGACTCCTCTTCATCGCTGCCCCTCCTGTGTCTGAAACTGTGCCGGGGCTGCTCTTCATCGCTGCCACTCCTGTGGCTGAAATTGTGTTGGGGCTGCTCTTCATCGCTGCCCCACTGGGCTCTGACACCGAACCGCGACCACTCTTCCTCACTGCCACTCCTGTGTCTGACACCAAACCAGGGCTGCTCTTCATCACTGCCCCTGTGGGGTCTGAAACTGTGCCAGGGCTGCTCTTCACCGCTGCCCCTGTGGGGTCTGCCACCAAACCTGGACTGCTCTTCATCGCTGTCACTCCTGTGTCTGCCACCAAACTGGGACCGCCCTTCATCGCTGCCCCTTTGGGCTCTGCCACCAAACCAAGGCTGCTCTTCATCGCTGCCCCTGTGGGCTCTGAAACCGTGCCAGGGCTGCTCTTCATCGCTGCCCCAGGGGCCCCCGCCGTGCCGGGGCTGCTCCTCCTCCTCGCTGCCGCAGTCCAGCCCGCTGTCGGGGCTGCGGGACAGGGGCTGCCTGCACTTGCATCCTCGCTCGTCCAGCTCCTGCAGCCCCGGCCCGGCCCTGCCCGGGTACCTGGGGCTGTGCTGCTGCTCCCGATGGCAGGGCCTGCGAGCCCGGGGGCCTCTAGCTATTCTGGGGTTCTTTTTATAGGGCATACCTAAACCCTGCTTGTACAGCACTTCAGAGTATTCACCGTCCTCTTCAGCCACTTCTGGAATACTGAAAAGCCTTTTACTGTGGTGTGTCTGCTGGGGAAAGCCAGGCTGTTCCAAAAAAGTGGCTTCAGTGGTCTTATTCTTATCCTTAAGATTATGTAATGTTAAAAACCAGACAGGGAACAAAGAGTGTGTGACAAAAATAAAATGGGAGGGAAAAGGGAGAAAAGAAAAATAAAGACAGAATTAGTTTTAGAGCAATGGCAAACACAAGACATGCAGCTTATATTATGAAAAGGATGTCATGCTTTGAATGAGGATCTGTGAAAAACAAAGACGTGATTAAGAAGTTGCTGGGTACAACGTGAGAGGTCAGTACAAACAACTGAGTGATGCTCTTAACAAGAATAAACTCATGCATTTGAAAGGGAGTGATGGAAGCCACACAAGCATGGTGGATGAGAATGGCACTGAAACTCCTTCCTTGCCCAACTGCCATCTGATTTTCCCTGCAACCAGCACCCATATCTGAGAACGACAGCTCTGCCCTAGCAAGCTTGCTTGCTTTGCATCTCTTAAAGCTTCTACAGAAGTAACAAATATCTTCAGTGTCCTGTCAGAGGAGAGCTACTCCACAGCCCTCACTGAAGGAGTTCTGGTTTTCTAAAAGCTGCACCATTCCAAAGCTTGGCTTGCAGGGAAGCCCCCTGGGACACAGGCTGCCCTCTGATGTCTGCACTGCCATCAAGCCCCATCCTCATCTTGTAGCTGCTTCACAAAGCCCGTGTTCAAACATCAGCCTGTGAGCAGACATAAAAGTCTCTGCTCGTGCCAGAAGCAGCTCAAAACTATCCCAGCCCGGGCAAAGCAAGCATTCTGGACATGCAGATACATCTGCAATTTTCCTATTCCAATTCCACAAACCACTGACCAAGAGCCCTGGGGTGCCTTGGCTGGGCTCTGGGAGCACAGGGCAGGAGGTGCTGGCTCTCACCGCCAGGATTATTGACTCTGCATCACAGATCATCTCTCCCTGTGCCTAATGCCCGGATCAGGGGCACCTCTGGGCTCAGGAGCACCCAGAAATAACGACAGATCCTCTTGCAGATTCAGCAGCATCTCCCTCTGAGCATTCTAAACTTAGCTGCCCTTTGGAGCTTGTCCCCTTCCAGGCAGGGGGAACTTTACAAGTTACTTTAGACTGTCTCACCTATTTTCCTTTGTTTCTAAAATGTGTGTAACACCCGTGAAACTTGAGATAAAGCGCCACAGAAGTGGAAAAAAGAGCATAAGCATAAACTACATCACAAGAAGTCTGCAAACCTTAGCAGGTCAAAAACCATTTCCTACACCACTCAAGGCTCTGGAACTTCCTCAATATCAACACTGGTAACACTAATTTAAGTCCAAGAAGTAAATACACCTTCTGATGCACAAGGAACAAGAACAGCCCAGGGATTATTCTTTTTGCCAGGGGAAGGGGGTACAATGAGCACACAGAAGGATTTTGGTTTCAACCTTTGTGCTGCTGCAGTAATACAAACACTGGTAATTTCTTCTTTTGAAAAAGGACCTGTCTCACTGCAGACAGCATCAGGATAAAAGGACTGAATTTACAGCACATGAAAGCAGCCATAAGAATGGTCAGAATTCTTGTATGCATGACAAAATAGTACTGATTTTAGTTAAATAGCAATCCACTGAAGAACCAGTTAACCTGTGGGTTTGTGCTTTCTAAGAAAACCCAGTTGGTGTAACTACTACACACATAAAGAAGCAAATAAAATTCACATGAACAAATATAATATGGCAAATATATACTCAGTATGGGGTGTGTTTGGTGTTCTGCATTTGCTTTAGTTGTTGCACTGAAGTTTCTTTCATGATGAATATTCCTGTACTAAAGCAATATTTCTGGAACATATTTCCTACTCTCTCTGGTGATTCCCCAAAATTCAGAGCACAAGGAGTTCTGACAAAGCATTGATCAAACAAAGCTGAAACAACTCCCTTCCTTACAGGGACACTTAAGCCTGTGGAAGGGATGGGACCAGCACTGGGTACACGGACAAATCACTCAGACAGGAAAACCAGAAGTTGTTTGATAAGTTTTTACAGATCTCCTTGCTCAGAAACAACTCATTTTCCGGGGTAGCACATGCAGTATATCCTCACAGAGACAGGGGAAGGTCCCCAGGTGCAGAACAGAAATTGCAAGTGCAACAATCACATGGAGGAAAATACCCAGTCAGTTAAAAGTTCATCTATCAAATAACGAAGAGCCCAGAGGTAACACAGGCTCTGAAGCAGGCAGCTCCAGCTGTCCGGGCAGAGCTGCAGCGGCTGCAGCTCTGGGGTGCAGCAGCACCCAGGGGTGCCAGCTCACCTTGAGCGCGCCGTGCGAGGTGAGGCTCAGGCGCCGCCGGCCCTCCTCCAGCTGCATCTCCGAGTACAGCTCCTCCTCATCCTCCTCCAGGATGTCGGACAGGTCCGAGCCCCGGCTGCTCTCCGTGTGGTACTCATCCCCCAGGCAGTAGTGAGCCTGAGGGGACAGAGAGAGCTCGCTGCTGGGCCCTGCTCTGCTGGACACAGCCCCTGGAAATTCTGCTCTGCCCTTTATGACTGCACTTCACGAGATCCAGCCTCAGCCCCAGGCCATCAATAAAGGACATCGCATTCACAGCACCCAGTCCAGTTTTAGTCTTGATTAAATTCCCCTTATTAAAGGGGTCCTTCACGCATCAATGGGCTTGCTGACCAAATTGTAAAAGCCTGATGATAATTCACAGATCATCTGTTCTTTGCAGCTGTTTGTTACATTGCATTAGAATTTAAAAGTGATCAGCATTTAATTCTTGCAGCATGTTACCACCATTGTGGCCCCTCAACACAGGCAGTCAGGTCTCAGACTAAAGTTTTTTAAACTATGCCAAGACATAAGAAAACATCTCTTTTCCAGACTTTACATCTCTCTTGAAAGTAATGTAAAAAAATATTTCATATTTGTTTTCAGTGGGATCAGACTAAAAGCTGTGCAGTTGTGCAAAATTCTTCTGGCAACATCTTTCCATTCCTTGGAGCCAATGCCACACCTTGCTTGTTTCCTGTCAGTCACAGGTGATGCCCTCGTGCACAGGAATCCTTCCCCTCTGCCAGAGCAGGCTGTCACCCAGTGACAGTGACACCTCACACAGAACAGCCCCAGCAGGACAGCCCAGCCCATGTTCTGCAGGCTCTGCCACCCCCACGTGTTCCCAGAGCCTGCTGGGGGCTGCTGGGAGGGAGGGTGCTCAGAGACCCTGGGACAGGGACAGGGACAGGAGCATCCCTGCCCACGGCTCAGCCTCACCTGTGTCACAGCCTGTGTCACCTGTGTCACTGTCTGTGTCACTGTCTATGTCACCTTGTCACCTGTGTCACAGCCAGAGCCCTCAGTGACCTGGCAGAGCTGGCCCCAGAGAGCCCCTGGCACAGCAGCCAGGCCAGGCTACTCACTTGCTTTCCAAGCTCGGACTCCTTCAGGAAATCATCGACCGAGGCTCCCCTCCGCCTGACCTTGGGCGAGTCATAACCATCCTCCTCCTCGTCTGAGAACGGGGCCACGCTGCTCCTGTCGCTGAAAACACTCCTCCTGTCCACCTGAGGGACACAAACACAAACACTCCTCCTCTCCATCTCAGGGAACACAGAGCAGTGAGGGACACTGCCCTGCACCCAGGACACAAACACAAACACTCCTCCTGTCCACCTGAGGGACACAGAGCTGTGAGGGAAACTGCCCTGCACCCAGGACACAAACACAAAGACTCAAGCACACAACATTTAAAGGCACTCAAGTTTTAAAGCACTGTTAGCTCTCCCTGGCTGGCACCTTTGAGGAGCTTTTCAAGAAGCTTTTGCCTGTTTTATTACCCTCACTCTCAAGCAATCACCTGGCTCTGTGTGTCCATCAGCTGAGCTGCCAGCTCTCCTCCCTGTGGCACTCACCAACATTCTCAGTGCTCTGCAGTCCGAGGCTGCCAGCAAAGACTCTCCCTTGCCCTTGGCAGGCAGCGGATGATCCAGCCACAGCAGCATTTGTGACCCCAATATAAAAAAAGCCCCAGAATGAGGCTGTGGGCTCGTGCTGTGCCCTGAGGAGCCTCTTGGCCCCAGCAGCTCCTGCTGGCTCAGGGGACAGTGCCCATCAGCCACCAGCAGGCAGGGGCAGGCACACAGCTCCTCCTGCAGCACTTGCCACGAGTGAAGAATTTACACCACGGGGGGCCAAACATGACAAAGATCCCTGGCAGGATTTGATTTAATTCAGAATTTATTTGTCTATAAACTCCTGTTCAGATTCCTGAATAAAACATTTCAAGCATCACTTGAACTAATGTAATCAAATGTGGTTCAGAGCACATGTTGTGTCAGCAATTTTCCAGAGCAGAAAAAGTATTTCTGTTCTCTTTCCCTACATGGTTCTTAAATCAACTTTCACCTCATAGGGCCAAAAAGCCAATTGCCTTTTCTCCCTCTATTACATTCCAGTCTTATTTATAAACAAAAGGAAGATACATACAGATGAATACATGTGTATCTATCAGACCTTACTGATCCAGAACTATTCAGGTTCTCAAAAACTGGCTGATTTACCCACTGGATCAAATGCATCCCCAAGCAGGAACAGTCAATAAGCTGGGGCTGTTAAGGCATGTTGAACTGTCAAAATTAATGGAGCTATTTTGGAGATACAATGGGAGACTAAAAACTGGACATAACTGGTGACTGCCAGATGAAGCACCAAGAAAATCTACGGAGTAAGTGACACTTGCAAGAAGTAACAGACAGCTGTGAGCAGCTTGTGATGAGAAAGTAACTGCCCAGGGCACTGGGAGTGTTTAAATATTGCATATTTGTGTGGAAGACCCACAGCACGTTGTCAGGATGCATCCACATCAGCTGCACTGACCCCAGAGCCCCGAAGGTGGGGCTGAAATCAGCTGGCAAAGACCTGAGTCAGAGCACAGCCATGGGCCATGGTGGTCCCAGAGCAGGGGTGTCCTCGGGCAGTGACACTGCTGGCAGCTCCACGAGGAGCTGCAGTGAAAAGCACCTGCAAACGTGTGTGAAAAGGCAGCACTGGGAAGGAGAAATGTGTGAAATTCCCTGTGGATCCATGACAGCAGGCACAGGAGCGCTTTGTAGCCCAGCACTTCAGCACTCTGCCTCTCAAGCTGCGGATCTGCAGAGCTTAGGAAGGATCACCCACCCCTTAAAGCACACCACGAGCAATCTTTGGTGGCAGGTGTCCCGAGGACAGCCCAGGAGGCCCAGGAAGGAGTTTGCCTTTACCCTGTTGCTCTCTGCCACGCGCTGTGCAGCTTCTCTGGCCATGGCTTTTGCGACGGTGTTGGGGACTGGAGCGCCTTGAGGCTGGGGCAGGATCCTGTTGGGGGACGGAGACCTCCTGCCCTGGAGGGGCCCGTGGAAGGCGGGTGGCTCCAGCATGTGTCCGTGCACGGGGGACGCCGAGCGAGTCTGCTCCCAGGCCTCCTCCCTCCTCAAATGTGGGCCTAGGTGCTCTTCTTTGGTTTCTGGGGCTCCGGCACTTGCTAATGGCTTAGATTTGGGCGCAGTTCTGGGGTGGGGGGTTGGAGGCACCAGGAGGTCGGATGGAATGGCAGCGAGAGGAGAGTCCAGGGACTCGCCCTGTGCAGAGAGCGTCCGCACCGTCACCTCCCTGGCGTCCAGGCCGCGCAGCCGCTGCAGCTCCAGCGCCGCGCCCTCCGCGGCGGGGACAGCCACCTCGGCCACCTGGGGACACACGGCCACCCGTCAGCGCCAGCAGCTGAGAGCACCTGTCAGCACCCAACAGCCGCGAGCACCCAACAGCCCTGAGCACCCAACAGCCGCGAGCACCCAACACCCCTGAGCACCCAACACCCGTGAGTGCCAGCAGCTGAGAGCACCTGTCAGCACCCAACAGCCGCGAGCACCCAACAGCCGTGAGCACCCAACAGCCCTGAGCACCCAACAGCCGCGAGCACCCAACAGCCGAGAGCACCCAACAGCCACGAGCACCCAGAACCCATGAGCACCCAACACCCCTGAGCACCCAACAGCTGTGAGCACCAGCAGCTGAGAGCACCTGTCAGCACCCAACAGCCGCGAGCACCCAACAGCCGAGAGCACCCAACAGCCCTGAGCACCCAGAACCAGCACCCAACAGCCCTGAGCACCAGCAGCTGAGAGCACCTGTCAGCACCCAACAGCCGTGAGCACCCAATAGCCGTGAGCACCCAACAGCCCTGCGCACCCAACAGCTGAGAGCACCCAACAGCCGTGAGCACCCAACACCCCCCGTGAGCACCCAACAGCCCTGAGCACCCAACAGCCCTGAGCACCCAACAGCCCTGAGCACCCAGACACCTGCTGCCCCTTACCCAGCTGGCATTCATCCCCCAAGCCCTCTACCCAAGAAGGGAGAAAGGGAACAGGTTACTGCACAGCTGTGAGAGTCCCACCAGGGCTGTGTGCCCCTTACCCAGCTGGCATTCATCCCCAAACCCTACGGCCAAGAGGGCTCCTCGAAAGGGAGCAGGTTGACCCAACCAGCGGGACAGGCTGCACGGCAGGGCTGTGCCAGCCTCCCTGCCAGCCGGGTGCCGCAGAGGTCGCAGGGCACTCACCCGCTGCCCTTTGGCATAGACACCGTAGCCCGTGACGCTGGCACCGTGCGACGTCCCCGTCGCCGACAGGGCCGGGGGCTTCCAGCACACCTGGACGGTCCCTGGCGTGGAGCCCGCCCGCACAGACACGTCCTGAGGTGGGGCTGGGGGACCTAGGAGAGATGGCACTGGTCACCCGGGTCACTGCATGGAGCATTTCCCACCAGCCGGGCCCACGGTCCTCCCTCTGCCCTGAACCAAAAACCACACCCAGGAACCGCTCAAGGCATGCAGTGTGTTAGTGTAACAGCACACCACTCACCTCCTTAATTAACAGCGTTACACTGCTATAAATAGCTCTACTTTGGCCAGAAAGCCAAAGTAAAAATATCACAGAGATTCTTAGTTCATCAATTTTTCAAGCACCCTGTTGTGTTAATTTAGGCACCAGACCCTGAGCTGCAAAGACTGCTGTCAGGAGCAGGGCTGGGCTGCAGCCGTCTCTGCAGAGCAGAACGCACACCCTGGCTCTGAGAGACTGCTTCTCCCAGCAAACTAAACACCACCAGACCCTCTTCAGCTACCAAAAAGGCTACGAATACTTCAGCTGTGCATGATACAGCTGCAAATATCACACAAGAGCACTGGCAAACTGCCAGCGCATTTCACTGGTTTGCTGCCACGGAATTCCGTCCTCTAGTGGACATGGAAATAAAATCATGGTCATGTTCAGGACAGCATAGGCACAACAGGAAGGTTTTGCTCACACCAACCCTGCATCTATAAAGTATTTATATCTTGCAAGTTGAGAGTATGCAAATTGACCTAATACTATTCTTGGCCAAGAGAGATTTTGGTTCAGGATTGAATTTCAGCTTTCCTGGCCTTCCCATTTTACTGACAGCCAGCACTCCCAGCTCAGCAAGGCTGCTCAGCTTACAAGGAAGAATGCACCTGCTCTAACCCAGCATCTTGCCCATGACAATGACATTAATGTGCTCCTGCAGAAGTCACCTTCCTTCCACTCTCCCACAAGGAAACCATCCCCAGGGTGTCTGTCTCGACCTTCACAGGCTGTGCAGACAGGTTTAACAAACTGCAACGCCCGAGGCTCAGCACGGCTCCTATTTCCTCCCACCATTAAATGGGAAATTATTCCTGATGATCTTCAATGGTCTGGTCATCAACATAAATGTTTGTTTTGTAATTCTGCTACACTTTGCTCCTCATGGGGTTTTTAACATAAATTAGCTCCAAAAACTGCAGCAGCCCCATTGGTCCTGATGCTGTGCTTATTTCTATTTTTACGTCTGAGTGCCCAAGAGACAAACACTTCTATTTCTATGTGAGCAATTCCATTGCCTTGATGAATCAGGATGAGTTCTGTTGCATGACACTCTATGATGGCAACTCCCATCACTGACTCCAAATTCATCCTTCTCCTCTGCTCCAATGACTCTGCAATCAGGCATCAGCCTCCAACCACTTCAGCAGCTGCTGCTTTGTTTTCCCTACACAGCAGTGAAAAGCTGGCTTGTTTCTCTAGAAGTGCTCCCAGTGGAATGAAGCAGGGGGGAAGGTTCTGGGAGCTCTGGCTGCAAAAGCTGAGGGTTCTCTGCACCTCAGCTGCTGAGCAGAGAGCAGCCCTGCACTGCTCAGCAGGCTCCACAGCCAGAGGGAGGTACAGCACGGGAGCAGCCTGGAAAAGCCTCACTCAAAGGGTCTGTCCTGAACAGCAAAGCTGAAATAAGCTCAAGCCAGCAGCCAGGCAGTGCCTCCCACCTCCCCAGGACACATCCCAGGCCTGAGCTGCCCTCCCCTCGAGCACCCTGCTCTGCCCCCACCACGGAGTGAGCCCAGGCTGAGGAGACTGCAGCGGAGTGTGAGCTGAGGACATTCCCACTGGAACCATGCTGGCACCACAACTGCAGGCACAGGAGCTTCACTGCCCTGCCCAGCAGCACTGCTGCCCTCCATGCCCCTCTCCTACAAGTCCCAGGCCAAGGAGGGGAGCAGGATGAACTCCTGCCCCGTGCTGGGGTCACACCCTGCAGGCAGCGAGCAAACCCAGCTCAGAATGCTGCTGATGCCTCACCTGCCAGGGGCCACTTGTGGCTGAGCCTCCCTTCAGGGGCAGCCAGATCTGCAACACTGACTATCTGAGGGCTCCCCTACTGGGCCATCATTAGATGACCAAGGATAGGTGAATCTGTAAGGAAAGATACTCAATTTTTTCAGGTGCTGCCACACACCCCCAAAATGATGAGATTATCCTTCAAACTCACTGCTTTACTTCTGCTCTAGTTTTCAACACTGCTTCAGTGTTCTTGAACAATGGCAAATGACTGACAACACTTACCAACACTCCTAGTGCAAAAGCCAGGTGGGAGAAAACCTCAGACTTCCCAAAACACAACAAATCTGTTGACTTTACAAATTCAAATTGTACAGTGAAGTTGATTACACCTTCACAACCAAAATGCACTTACATCCCCTAAAAACTGTGTAGGTTAAAGTATTTTATTTAGTATTTTCAGAGAAATTTAACTGATGAGTTTTGGGGTAGGGAGGAAAATATCAAACCTGCTGGCAATGTAGAAAATTCCACAAAGGCTTCCTTCTTCTCTCGTTGTTCCAAGGGAAGCTGCCAGGGCATCTGGTGGGGCTTTGCCATGACCTTCACCTTGTAGGCCATGTTGGGCTTCAAATTAAAAAAATGGTACTTGTAGCTAGCAGCCTTGACAATGTCAAACTCCTCCTCGTTCAGGAAGATGACGTGACTGTAGTTGCTGTTTGTGGGCAGCCAGGAGAGCTCAGCAGAAATCTGGGTGATGTTGTCCACCCGCAGGTTGGAGGGGGCGACGATGACGTCCTTGCCCACCAGCAAGGTGCACTGCAGCTCGTCGGAGTTGCCCTTGCTGGTGATGCTCTGGATGGAGATCCGGTACGTGCAGGTGGAGGTGTTGAGCTTTTCTATCAGAGCTTTGGTCCTGCTGCCCAGGGCGATGTTCATCCTCACCTCCTTGTCCACCAGCACGTTGTAGCTGCTGACGGTGCCCCAGCCCGGCGGCACCACGGGCGGCTCCCAGCCCACGATGACGCTCTTGGCCAGCTGCTTGATCAGGGTGATTCTCCTGGGGTAAGGCACGATGTCTTCTCCGATGTCGTCGATGTTGACGTCCAGGGTGGCCGTGCCGTTGCTGAGCACGCTGCCGTCGGCGTGGCCGGGGGGGCTGATGTGCAGCTCTCCCTGCAGCGCCGGCCCCGCGCGGTTCAGCGCGTTCTGCTCCTGCTCGCCGCCCGCCAGCCGCGCCTCGCTGTCCTGCACAAAGTCCACGAAGTTCGAGGGCACCAGGCCTCTCTGCCCATCCAGGAGCTCTCCTGCAGGGAAACAGCACTCTTACTAACCAGGGCGACTCCGACGAAGGGGAGACAGAATGATGAGGAGGACTCCACCAGCAGAGGGCAAGATAATTACTTTATTATTCTATACTATACACACTGCATCTAAAGTGAATCTGCCTTGCTCACAGCTGCCCTCATCTCAATCCTTCTCGTGACAGTTCCCCCACACACACACACTTGACAGGCCAAGGGAATAAAACATCCTCACTCTGGGCAAACAATCTCCATATGGCATTCTACTACGGCACAAACACAGGCACAGCAAGAGAGATAAGAATTATGTTTTCCCTCTTGTCTGCTTGTCCCACAGCGTCCCTCTGTTCAGAGGGCATGTGAATACCACAGAGCACTGCCATTAAAAGCCCTGAAGGAAAACACCCTGTCCGTGGCAGTGCCGTGAGAGTGGGCAAGAGAAGGGGCAAGGGATGAGTGACAGCACATGAACAACATCCCCAGCTTGGGAGCATAAAGGCTTATTAAGGGAAATACCAGAACTGCCAGTAAGCTTTTTTGTCAACTTAAATCTTGCCAGCAGGAAAAGCTGACACTATGAAATATTTTATAATTAGCTCTGCCTGCAAGGAGCGGCTTTGCTGGTGCAGAAACTCTTTTAATTAACACCACGATGATAAAGCTAAATTTAGCAACCGATTTCGGAGCAGACGAAGGAACGAATCTGGAGCGTGCTTGACAGACGACCTGATTTCAATCTGCATGAATTGGCAGGAACTCGGGGACTAAAGCAAGAGTACCTTCATAGAAGCCATCCTCGTCCATGTCTCCGTAGACGTACAGGTACTTTCCTGCCGTGAGAGGGAGCTCTGCCTCCGGGTTCTCGTTCGGTCCATCGAAGGGGTTGTAGCTGTGGGGACAGCAGGGTGCTGCTCAGGAGGGGCTCCTGAGAGGGCAGCTCCCCTGGCAGTGTCTTTGCATCCCTCCTGTGCCTGTGAGGTCCCCTTTCCCCAAACCCTGCAGGAATCCTTTCCTCAGGACGTGCTCAGACATCTCACTTAGGGCTCTTGAAAAACACTGGCCAAAATTATCTTTATTTTTTAGAGTGAATTAAAGCAAACTCAGTTGTGGCGGTCTTTTCCAGTCACTGTATTCAATTTTATGTTCCTTTTACACAGCTTCTACAGAGACAAGGTAAAAGAAGACAAAACCAGTGAGCTACATCTAAGAGAAGCTACTGAGAGACAAAAAGTACTTATGAGGTACTTCAATCTACATCCATCCTGAAACAAACTGTTAGCCGCTGAAATCTGTGACAGTCCTATAAACCTGACATTTTAAAGTGCAAAGCAGTGATGGACCTCAAACCTTTTCCTGCTTGAAGAAGAAATTGAAAAGAACAGACAGGCTCCTCTCTAGAGCAGGAGGTCCCCATTTAATCTGCTTCAGGCACTGGAGGACAGGAATGCAGGGGCTGGGAGAGCTCAGCCCCCTCTGCAGCTGGGGCACGGGGACAGGCTCTGCTCTGCAGCCAGGGCAGCTGCACGGGCTCTCCAGAACATCCTTTCCATGCAGTAATTCAGGGCACGAATGCAGGGCAGCCCCGGCTGATGGTGAATATCAGCTGTGGGTGTGCCTGCAAGGAGGTGGGGGCTTTACCTGTAACGGGCAATGCAAAGATGGACCTTCCCAGAGTATCTCTGCTTTGAGGTATTGGAATTCTGATCATTATCCATCTGCGGGGAGGGGAGGAAAAAGATAATGTCATTGCAAAAAAAGAGGAATGCCCGGTTTTCCTGACAGGGGATAGGAATCAGTGAACACACATTATCAATGCTGAGTTTGGAACTGGTGCAAGTGTCACCTCCAAACACCTGGAAACCACAAGTATCACACAAAATATACCCCTTGCCAATCCAACCCAACCCAATCCAACCCAACCCAATCCAACCCAACCCAATCCAACCCAACCCAATCCAACCCAACCCAATCCAACCCAACCCAATCCAACCCAACCCAATTCAACCCAATCCACAGCATCAGCATCTCTTGAACATTCCAACCCAATCCAACCCAACCCAATCCAACCCAATCCAACCCAACCCACAGCATCAGCATCTCTTGAACACCACCCTTTCCACTAACTGAAGGAAATAACATATTTTCTTCTGAATTTCAGATCACACTGAATTCAATCCTGCAAAGCCACATGTTTATTCTATTACAAAACCTGGAGATTTAATTGTGGTGTTGAACCAGCACAGACTCTGCCTATTTTAGCTCTGCACGAGGTCTCTCTCTGGTAAAACAGTAATTTCAACTGTGCTTTGAGCTAGCAGAGGTTTCAAAGTGGGGGATGAGCTTCCCTCCACTTACAGTTTGCTGTGAGCCATTTCAGAAAAAATGACCAACTTTTTGCCTGAACTTGAGAGAACCTTAATTAAGGTAGAAATACTGGGTTAACACTGGGATCAAATGAAATAAACTGTCCAAAAACAAAGCAAAATCTTACAACCTAGACAGAGTGAGCACTGAGCTGCAGCTTCCAGGTCTGAACTGGGCCCATCCAGGAGCACACCAGGAAAATTCCCAGAGATGAGAATTCTCCTCTGAACTGACTCCTGAGGGTGGTTTGGCCCAGCTCCAGCTCCAGCAGCTCCCAGGGGTTCCCTGTGCAGCAGTAAAATCTGCCAGGATTATCCCCCTGACCCTTCACATGGGCACCTCACTGAGCACACAGCAATGGACACTCCAGGAAGTATCCCATTTTTAATAGGAACAACCAGGGCCATGGCAGAGTACCACTGACTCATTTATTTATTTATTTACTGCTTTATTTCAGACTTCCCAGCATTATGTTTCATTTTTTACATTTAATTCACATGCCCTCCCTTGGGTCTGGGTATCTCTAAAGAGGAATGGAGCTTAATTTCTGTGAGCTTGCATAATGTAAGAGTGTATCACATAATTACACTCTGGAAGGCACAAAATGTACAGTTCTGCAAAAGAGGGCTTGACATCCTCAGTGAGATAACTCAAAAATAATAGAAAAGGGGAATTAAATTTGACGTTTGCTTCTCCTGCTCCTTGCTGTTAGTTCTGCTTCCCTAAGTCTCCTGGCTAAGCTGCTTTTTCCGTGGCCTCTTCAAAAAGCAGTGAATGTTTCCACTTTTCAACGGTGCTGCTACACAAATATACACAAACATTTCCTGGGGATAATCCTCAGATATGCCCATGGAACTCCCACTCTACAAGAATCCAATATTTTGTTGAATACCCTCAGGCTTGTGATCCATTTAGAAACATTTTGATTCCATCAACTTTCACATTTTCAGTACCAATTAATTAACATAGATAGAAAATATGCACACAGTTGCAGCTTATTTACTCCTGAAAGCATTAGGAAAGGGATTTCCTGAAAGGAGGGGTAAAATCTGAAGATCATTTCCTCGTGGCTATCTGCCCATATAAACCAGGGTATTTAATAGAAAATAATACCCTTCTACAGAATTTCCAAGATTTGCTCTATGCAGTTTTTATATTTAATATTTGTCCTAAATATTAAAAATCAACGTGTTATGGCACCTTTGAACAGCTCTTCTGAGCTTCCCATTGGATTTCTGCTGGAATTCCTCCAAAAAGCAGAAAAGCTTCCTAAGGAAGGAGGAACAGAACCCTCCAAATGCATGACTGAATACAGAATGTGGAGAGGAATGCTTTAGTGACAGCATGCTGCAATCCCACTCCCATTTCCCAGGCTCAGAGTCCTCCAGGGCAGATGAGCAGGGCAGAGAGGAGCCCTGCAGAATGTTCCAAACATTTCCAGTCCAGCACCCCTGGGTGCACAGCTGCTGTCCCTGCCCCAGTGCCCCTTCTGCAGGCAGAACCGAGTCCTGCTGCACTGCTGCCCTGCTGCCCCAGGCTGCACTGCTGCCCTGCTGCACTGCTGCCCCAGCCCTGCTGCCACAGGCTGCACTGCTGCCCTGCTGCCCCAGGCTGCACTGCTGCCCCAGCCCTGCCCCAGGGCAGAAATGCTGCTGTGCCCAGCACTGAGATCCCCAGAGCACCTCAAGCTCCTCACACACCCCACCTTCACCCTGAGTACCTGGCACGTCAGCTGCAGCTCCTTTGAGAACATCACTCAAATTCCCCTGACCATGCTCCCAAGCTGCCTCAGAGAATGAGAACAGTCATATATTGAATTTCTAAAAGCAGGTGGATCAACCTGCAACAGCCTGCTGGAGCAGAGCAGCCTCAGCCCCACGTCACTTCTTCAGGAGAAAATTCAAGAGGACTCACGTCTGAATCAAATCTGCATCGTGGGGTGGCAGATCTGGACTTGGACAGGAAGGTGGGCTTGACAGACAGCTGCTCTGGTTTGTCCCCAGTTATCTGCAGGGGTCGGATGAACTCCGAGATCACACAGCGACTTCCAGAGGGGCTCTCATGACCTGCAGTGGCAGAACACAGACTCAGGAGTGCTTCCCAGCACAAACCTGCCAGCACAGCAGAAGGGTGCTCTCCTCCCCTCCAGAAATCACTCAGGAAGGAGGCTGGGGTGGCTGCCCCTGCCCACACCTTGGGGAATTGCTAAAGTCAACACCATGTGACAAAACACAACCCAGAAAGTGGAGGCGTTTCCACTCCAAGAACCCAAAGGTGGAGTTCCCCCAGAGCACAGAACCCACCTGTGTCCCGAGCCCCCTGGTGTGCCTGGAATGCTGTGTGCCATGCCTGGCATGCAGAGCTGCAGCCTCTGCTTCCTCTGGGCACTCTGCACACCAGAAGCAAGCCTCGCCTTTGCCTTCTAAAAAAGAGGCTGGGGTGCTAAGGATGCAGGTGGCAGGATATTCCCTTTGCAATGAAGCTGTTGACTTTTGGCAGGCAGGCAGTGCCAGGAGCACCTGCCTCGTGTTTCTGAGAGTTCTCACTGACACCAGCACTGAAGCACTTTAATCTGACCCCAGGGCCATCTCTCCAGTCTCTAGAACATGGAAACTCAGACTGTGCAAAAGGAAAAAACTCCAAAAATCCTCCTGGAATATTTTTACTGTGCTTTTTAAAAGAGTTCAGAGGAAAGGAGAAGGGAGATTGTGCTGCACGCTGAGAAGCCTCACAAGAGGCTGAGCTCTCTCCTCCTGACTCAGGTGAGAACCAGAGGTGAGACAAGCCAGAGGAACAACGTGGTCCAGGCTGCAAGAGAGACCAATGAAGCTGAGTAAAAGCCACTTGCACATTTACCTTTGACTGTTGGTTTATTCCCAGGGCAGGGACTGTACCCCACTCTGGACTGTGCCTGCAGCACCAGCACCAGCAGCAGCTGCAGCAGAGCTGCTGCTGACACTTCACATGTGCAGAGTGCATCCTGCCTCTCATTAGCATAATGAGCCTGGGCTCTGGCTTTTCAGCCCCTGAATATCTGTAGGTTCAGCATTTCCTCTCCTGTTCTGCCAGAAGTCTGACAGCAACGTTTTGCTACTGAATTTCAAGATTCCCAGTCCAGGTCACCAGGAATTATCAGAGGAACCTCTTTGTTCTCACTGCAGAGGAGAAAAAGCTCCAAGAATACCATCAGAGGGTTTTCTGGTGTGCTCATTAGGCCAATATGATTAATTTTCTCTGCATCACTGTAATTTACAGCAGGCCAGCCTCAGCACATTGACAGCAGGGAAATATACAACTCACCACACAAAAGATTAATTACCACCAGCCCCACTCAGAGCAATCCCCAGGCTGGAAAAGGGCACATTTTTTATTCTTGGAACCTTCCTCACATCTCTAACAGAGAAGTCCTCCCTGCTCAGGAACCTTTAGCCAATTTAGCTCCTTCTGTTTGCTGTTAATGTGTTTGCCATCTCAGCCTGCCAGCGCCAAGCTATAAATAATTGGGCCAACTGTGATGATTCACTCAGAGGAAGCCTCTGGCAGGTCTCAGACCCCCTGCATCCTCCAGGCTTTGTTACCAGACTGCTGGCACGGGGCACAGAGTGTGGAGGAAGGCTCCAGGGCAATGCAGCCCTTGCTCTGCATCCACACGGGACAATGCCCAGCACAGGAACACACACCACCAGCAACTCCAGGAGTACCTGGAACATACGGGTCTGCCTTACTCTTCCACTTGGGAAATAAGGGCAGAAAATTTACCCCGAGTCCTTAGCACCCAGGAGAGGAAGGAGTGTGTGGCTGTGGGTGCAAGGAGGGCCTGGGCACCTCTCTGCCCCAGGTAATCTCACTCTGCTTGGAGAGCCTGCTGTGCTCCACCACCCTGAGAAGGGCTGACTGCAGTAATTAGTGCTGATAGCCCCGCACAGGCACCTCCCTGCCCAGCAGGGCACTGAGCATCCACCAGCAGAGGGAAGAACAGATCTCTGTGCCCAAAGTGTGCCCATCAAACACTCCAGCTCCTGAGCATCCTGCAGAGGAGCCTTTGGAAAGGCTACCAGACAAATATCCCGTGCAAACTCAGGTGTTCTGTGCACGCAGAGCCACGGCTGGGCTGGAAAATCAACACAAGCAGAACAGAAAAACCAGAGCAAAACAGATTCAGAGTGCAGGGTGCACATTCCTCTGAGTATCTGGGAGCTCCTGATCACCCCTGGATTGCTGCTCCTGCAGGCTGGGAACACAGGAGCACAAAAAAAAACTGCATTCAAAACCTGGCCTAAGATTGCCTCCAAAAAAACTGATTAAACCTGGTTCTCTGGTTCATCCAAGGCAATTACACTGAGGGCCCTGGGCTTGAACAGCAGAGCCAGGAGGAATCAGACCTGCAGACTGTTTTAAAGGTGTTAACTGGAAACCTACAAAAAAGAAAACAAACAAACAGAAAAGTCCCAGTAAAACACCTTCCCTTTTATACTTCCCCTCTGGAAAAAAACAGAGTTAAAAAGAAAATCTACAAGAGGTCAGCTCCTAAGAACACACAGCAGCATCTAGAAATGCCTTTTTTCTTCCCTTTAAATAGTAGAGAAGAATCCTATAAAGCCACAGGAATTTTGTCCATGAAGTCTTTTTAAATCTATATATGCTTAAAATGGCCTTTATTTTCCTGACTGACAAATGTTTGATAAGGAAGTCTGAAGAACACCCTATCTAGGCAAAAGGAAGAGCACCAGATCTAATTTAAATGTTTCAGGAGAATTAAATCTGTCCATGCTTGCATTACAGTTAGACTCTCCATGTTATTTATTGCATTGCTGATTCCATATGGACTACCTAAATTATCTAGAAAGACCATTTAAATGAGCCTCTTAACTGATGAATAATAAATCTTAAGGCTTCTATATCTGATTGTGACATTATTGTAGGTTTAAAGTGAACTTTTTATGCTGCAATCCATCCTGGCTAGGTTTATTTCATTTCCTGATACATTCAGACATCACCAATTAAGGCAAAGCAGCTGGTCATAAACTGATCTCATTTCCATCCTTTGCTGTGCTTTAAAGCTCTCTCTGTGTTCCCTCTCATGTTCTTTCTTCCTCACACATAATAAAAATAACGACCCTGCTGGTTTGGAGAACTTGCTGTGCTCTGCCATCACTCGTGAGCCGGGGTTGATCTCAGCAGTAAGAAACTGCCCTGGCTCACCCTGGCTCACTGTCAGCGGGCATTCCCACCGAGGGGCAGGGCTGCGCAGGCTGCCTGCTGCCAGACACGACTGAACACAAAAACCAACACAAAAACCAACACAAAAACCAACACGAAAATCCCACAAAAATCCCACAAAAACCAACAGCTTTTGAGAAGGTTCAGAGAGGACGGCCCTTGAAGGCCCTGGGTGCAGACCTGGCTGGGCTTGCTGTGGTTTTACTCAGGGGTTACTTGGGAGATCTCAGTTTGGACGATTTTTAAAAGGTTTTTCCATTAGCATAAGAATGAATTGGCTGGGAGAGTTTGACTGAGTGCCTAAAAGACGTTCAGCTGATTTCCATTTTCCATCAAATCAATCTCAGCGATACAGGCTGGACCTCCACTGCTGCCTGAAGGACTGCTCAATACCTAATTACCTTTCCTCTTAAATTAATTGTTGCTTTGAGAACCCTGTCCTTAGAGACACGAGGAGCTACTGCTGCTGGTGTGAAGGAAATTTCTGCTAAATCCTCGTGTCTATCAGGAAATGCCATGGGGACTCTCCATTAGTGCCCTTTAATACCCATCCCCTGGGGCAGAGAGCCCAGGGCAGCACAGAGGGCACTGGGCAGCAGAGCCCAGGGCACTGGGCAGCACAGAGGGCACTGGGCAGCAGAGCCCAGGGCACTGGGCAGCACAGAGATGTCACCCCAGCTGCCCCTGCCCTGGTGCCACACCGAGCTCAGCACCCTCTGACAGGGACTGCTGCCTGCAGCAGCAGGGAATCATCTCTGATCTCCAGGCCCCCGGGCATCAGAGCCTCTCTCCAAGCTGAGGAAAAAAGGGTGAGACCATTTCACTTCTTTTAGTCCATTTTGGCTTATTTTCAAACAGCTTTGGGGGAATTTGTAAGCAATGAGAATGACCTGACCACTGTTTCTTTGCAGGAGAAACTGCAGTGATTCCAGCCTGGGTGGGGCTGATCACCCTCCTCACATGGGATAACACACAATATAATGTGTGATTCACATGGAATAACACACAATCTGTGATTCATATGGAATAACACACAATATAACATGAGATTCACATGGAATAACACACAATCTGTGATTCACATGGAATAACACACAATATAACATGTGATTCACATGGAATAACACACAATTTAACCTGTAATTCACATGGAATAACACACAATCCAATATGTGATTCTCATGGAATAACACACAATATAACATGTGATTCACATGGAATAACACACAATTTAACCTGTAATTCACATGGAATAACACACAATCCAATATGTGATTCTCATGGAATAACACACAATTTAACTCATGATTCACATGGAATAACACAGAATCCAATCTGTGACTGACACAGAAGCTGTTTTAGGTGTCCTCAGGTAACCTCTTGCCTGCTCTTTGTCCTTTTGCTGTGAATAATGGATGGTTTACAAAGCTGTGCTCTGGGAGAGCCGTTGCCTCTGGCAACAGGAGATGACCTGGTGAAAGTTCAGCACAGATCCTGGGTAAACACACACTGCTGACTGTGCTGGGGATCTAAGTGTAAGAGCATCAGTACAGATAGAATTTTTTTATTACCTTATGTTCTCTATTTCTCTTGAAACTGCCTTTTGCTTTTTGAAAAGTTTTACTTACAGATTTTTTATGGAGAAGTGCATGATTTCCGTTGCACAAATTAAACTGAGCCCAAGCCATTTTCATGTCAAAATGCTCCGTTTTCTGGCCAGCTCTATTTAAATGGTTTTTGAATGCCATGGCCAATGCAGTGTGCGGGGTCTCTGTGCTGTCTTTCCCCATTAACTCCTCCTTCAACAGGAGAGCAGAGCTGCTCCTGTCCCTGGGACAGGGAGGGCTTCCAGCAAAGCCTGTGCATGCAGACAGGTGCATTTTCACATGAAGAACAGGCAATTTTAACCCTGAACAGGTTTCCTATCACTACACTCAACAACAGTTAGAGAGAATTTGCTCGCAGTGATGCCCAGAGAGGCTCCCTGGAACAGAGGCTGACAGAGTTAAAGGAATAAAGCAGGGATTTGGTAAAAGGCCTCCAAAGGATGCACCTTGGGCAGTGCAACAGCCTGGCCATGGCTCCAACCAGGATGGACCCAAGATGGACAATGGTCATGAGTTATCACACTTTAATCAGTTTTGGTCCATTTCCATACTGGGGTTCATTGTCCAGTTCCAGCTCAGGTGATGCAGCCCCACCCTCCCAGATTGCTCTCCTCCATCCCCTGTTGTTTTACACTTTTGGGCCTGAAGCTGCAGTGGTGTCCTTGGTTGTGGGCTGGAAAAGGATTGTTCTGTGTGCCTGAGCTGTGAGGAGAGCTGCTGGCACTGTATGTGGAGTTCAGAGTTATAAACTAATGCAATTCAGAGTTATAAACCAATGCAGCTCAGGGTTATGCACCAATGCAGCTCACAAGAAGCAGGGCTCTGTCCCGGCACAAGCAGAGCTCTGTCCCTGCAGGAGCGGGGCTCTGTCCCTGCAGAAGCAGAGCTCTGTCCCGGCAGAAGCAGAGCTCTGTCCCTGCAGGAGCGGGGCTCTGTCCCGGCCGCCCGCCCCGCTGCCCCTTACCTTTGCCCAGGGGGGCGGCGATGCCGTTCATCAGCTGTGCCAGGGCCTTGCCGGGGCCCGGGGGGGTGCCCAGCAGCTCGATGGTGCCCGCCTGCTGCCGGAAGCGCTCCAGCTCCCTGGCCAGCAGGTTAAACTGCTCGCTCTGCGTGCGGCATTTCTGCTCCAGCTCCCGCACCTTGGCCTGCGGGACACACCGCGCTCAGACTGCGGGGACACCGCCCGGGGATGGGGGGACACTGCCCCCGGGGAGGGGACACTGCCCGGGGAGGGGACACTGCCCCGGGATGGGGGGACACTGCCCCCGGGGATGGGACACTGCCCCCCCGGGGGAGGGAGACACTGCCCCCGGGATGGGGACACCGCCCGGGATGGGGACACCGCCCCGGGGAGGGGACACTGCCCCCCGGGATGGGGGGACACTGCCCGGGGATGGGGACACCGCCCCCGGGATGGGGACACTGCCCCCGGGATGGGGACACTGCCCCCGGGGATGGGGATTGGTGATACAGCCCCCTGGCTGGGGACACAGCCCCCCACCCTGGGAATTGGGCACACAGCCCCCCGGATGGGATTTGGGGCACACAGCCCCCCACCCTGGGGATTTGGGCACACAGCCCCCCCGAGGATGGGGACACAGGCCCCCGGGATGAGGATTTGGGGCACACAGCCCCCCGGGATGGGGATTGGGGCACACTGCCCCCCACCCTGGGGATCTGGGGCACACAGACCCCAGGCTGGGGATCTGGGGCACACAGCCCCCGGGATGAGGATTTGGGGCACACAGCCCCCGGGATGAGGATTTGGGGCACACAGCCCCCCGGGATGAGGATTTGGGGCACACAGCCCCCCAGGATGAGGATTTGGGGCACACAGCCCCCCGGGATGAGGATTTGGGGCACACAGCCCCCCAGGCTCCCTCCAAACCTCCCCTCACCCCAACCCCACCTGCGGGCAGCCCTGTCCCTCTGAGGTGATTCCTGCTCTGGCCCCAAACAAAGAGCAGTGAAGGCACTGCAACCCCTCCATCCAAACCTGCACACGCACTGGAGCAGCTGAATGAAGGCTGTAAAAATGCACCCAGGCTGTGCTGTGTGTGAGCAAACACCACCTCCCTGCACTAAACCCCTCTGCTGCTCACCTCAGCAGCTGTGCCAACAAAGGCAGTCTGGATAGCAATTACATTTGTTCAGCTGAGCTAAGAGCTTTGGCTTTTTAAAGGAAAACATTCCCTGTTTGTGTAAGAAAACCTGGACATTTTATATATCAAGAAAACAACACGTATTACATAGCACCTATAAAAAGATCCTAGCTGAAGGAAAATGCTTGCAGTACCCAGAAGAACCCAAAAATCCAAATGTTCTACTATACAAGGTGGCACTGTTTGTTCCTTTTCTTGTAACAAATACTTTTTTTTTAAGTTAGGCTCAGAACTGTGAGTTTTCACCCTGTGCCCTGCTCCTGCCATTTCATCTGTGCTCCCAGGCTCAGAGTTGTGGAGTTTTACCCCTTCCTGTGCTCCCTGCCATTGGACCTGTGCTCGCAGGCTCAGAACTGTGAGTTTTCACCCTGTGCCCTGCTCCTGCCCCCCAGCCTGCCTGGCAGGGGCACGGGGCAGTGCCAGCTCTGCTGCCCCAGCTCAGGCTGTCCCTGGCAGTGCCAGGCTCCTCTCCCAGCTGCTGCAGCCAGGGCTCGGGGATGAGGGGGAACAGGCTCCATGCAGCACACGGGGCTGTGCACACACAGGGCAGGGGGCAGCTTCCAGCTGGACAGGTCTGAATTCAGAGCACTAATTAGCACCAGTGATTAGTTCTGCTGGGCTGGTACCGCCTCGCAGCTCCCCTGTTTGCACAGCAGCAGTGCCTTCCACTGGCAGCTCAAACCAGCCTCAGGTGCAAATATCAATCCAGCAGCCCCTGAATTCAGACAAAATCCACACAGCCAGAGAGGGAGGGAGCCACCAGACCATTGCTGCTGGGCATGCTGGAGAGGAGCTGCCTGGAAGCAGCAGGGAGCTCTCCTCAGCCCTGCCAAGGCTCCATCCTGCTCCCACGGCTTGGCCTGGCCAACAATGCACAGCATGCTTGCACAGCAGTGGCTCCTGCACACAGCCATGCAAGGGGGCTCTGGCAAGGGACGAGGGCAGGAGGCAGCACAGGGAAAGGAGAATTCATGCCCTAAAATACCTGCATGCTGTCCAAGGTGCTCTGGGTGAAGTGCAAAGCAACAAATCCCAAACAAGACACAGTAAACAAAGAGATGTGAAATAAACAAAGAAATAAAAACAGTTCTGGATAGTTTTTACATTTCAAAGCAGTCTCTCAGAACAGTTACACGAGTGAAAACATGCACCAACACAAACAACACTGCAGAAATCAACACTGCTGCTGATCTGAAACTGCAGAAGGCACACTGAATAAAATGCTGAAAATAATCTGCTGGTGGCAATAAAAAGCAAAAGCTTTGGAAATCAGAGGTGCAGACAAATCAGCTAAATCAGAATTGTGCTCAGCTTGAGGGGGTAAATAATCTCCTGCTTGTCTTGTTTCTGTTTTCCTGTATCCCACACTCTGCACCAGGCATTGAATAATACCTTCAGTTTTGTCTGGAAGCTAAAACAAACTTAATGCATATGATGCTAATGAAAGGCTACGAGTGAGACACGTTCTGTGGGAATATTAACTTTTATAGACAATAATAAACAATTGCTTTAATTTATTTTTAAAGTTGATCAGTGCACCAGGAAAAATCCACCTTCCACTGAGGCATGGCCAGCAAGCACATCTAGAAATACTGTGGGGAGGTAAAAAGACTGGAAATTACCTTCAGGTAAAAGCAAATTTCTAAATGAAAGAGTGACAATGCACTTGCTATTATCTATCATGTTTTTTGCTCATTCTTTAGGATATATACATTAACACTTAAAACCATTTCATGCCTTTTCCTCAGGCAGAAAATGAAGTGTTCTCTTTCCAGCACACCCTCTGAAGGTTTTGGAAGTATCTCAATTCTTTCACTAGGTTTACAGTCTCTGCTTCTGTGACATGTTGCTTTATGTTTATTAGACAGTATTTAATTAGGAACCCTAGGTAACTGATTGGTATTTGCTGCTGTATTTCCAGCCTAATAAATCAAAATTCTCATCATTAATCACTCCCTTTAATAGTATTTTACAAAAAAATTGTACCAAAAAAGGAACATACATCACTTCCAACAGCTCAGCTTAATGCCCTCCTAGCTGAATTATAAATCTTAAAGGATGCAGTTATATCAGAAGAGAAAAAACCCCTCTTTGCCTACACACTCCCTGCAATGCTCACAAGTGCTGACTGTAAATCACCCTGCTCAGAAGGGACCTGAAGAAGGGAAGCCAGGGGATCTTACCTCTAGCAACTGAACTGCTCCTTCATGCTCCTTCTTAGCTTCAACCTGAGCCTTCTCAGAGCGGGGAAGGAAGGAGGAAGGAAGAGGGAAAAGGAGGAAGAAGGAGAAGGAATTAGTCATGCCACACACAATCTGCTGTGAGCACACAGAGCACACACCCAGAGCATTTCCATCCTGCAGGGGTGGCTGTGCCAGCTCTGCTGGGCACTCCCAGCCTGGCACTAATGTTCATTTTGGGATCCCAGAGCAGGGCTGCTGTGCTGAGCAGCACCAGCACACTCCACACTGCCACATCCACTGCCAGCCTCCAATAATGTTCATTTTGGGATCCCAGAGCAGGGCTGCTGTGCTGAGCAGCACCAGCACACTCCACACTGCCACATCCACTGCCAGCCTCCAATAATGTTCATTTTGGGATCCCAGAGCAGGGCTGCTGTGCTGAGCAGCACCAGCACACTCCACACTGCCACATCCACTGCCAGCCTCCAATAATGTTCATTTTGGGATCCCAGAGCAGGGCTGCTGTGCTGAGCAGCACCAGCACACTCCACACTGCCACATCCACTGCCAGCCCTGCCTGGAGCCCTCCGAAGTCCATGAAATGCAGTTTGTTGTGCACTCTGCAGGGCTCGTGGGGCACAAACCTCCCAGAGCACTGCAGCTCAGCACTGGGGCTGCAGAAGGAGCTCACAGATTGCTGCTGCCAGCCCCAAGGAGGGCTTATCAGAGGAATGGAACAGAAATCAGCAAGAAATGCTGCATCCTCCTTTGATTTCTTTCCTTTGCCAGGAAATTTAAGTCCAACATTTATGAGGCAGTTCTAATAATAACAGCTGAATATAGCTAGAAATGGCATTTTGCAGCGTGCCTAAGTACACTTATTGAGAAAGACTAAAAGAAAATTAACTGGAAGATTTCATTTGGTCAACTACAGTGTTCTATTTCAAGCAACTATATTAGATACATCTTTTATTCTGCTGAGAAGGTCCCTCCTTGCCAATTCCCTACCAAATGATCATTAGCAGCATTATTTCTGTGTTTTAATCTAGTCCAGCAATTGGAAAACTCAACATTAGCACTGAGACAATTGCAGCTTTAAGTGACTTTGGCAAAACTGAAACTCAACATCATGGTTTTTGTGTTATAATGAATACTGAGAAATTGCAGTGGGGAAAAAAAGTCTTGAAGTGATGTGTGAATTAGAGAATGACCTTGGAAGGGAGGTGTTCAAGCAACTGCTCAGTTTCTGTGCAGGGCTGATGCACCCAACCCTCACCACACAAACGTGACACGTTCTTGGAAAGGAAGATAACTGAGAGGTGTCAGCACCTTGGAAAAACTTTGTTTTTCCTAATTTACTGGAGGAAGGTAGCAAGAATTGCATGTCTGGAAGAGGGGCCAAAGAAACCCTACCAAAGATGGCTGGGTCAGTGAGAACTTCACAGCCCCCTGGAAATGGAGAGAGCTCGGATTCTGACTGGCAGGAAATTAGGATTGCATTCCTTTGTGAGACTGAAGAAATGCACAAGTATCAGCATTACGTGGAGGGAAGCAATGGAAATGCCAAGGAAATCCCTGAGGCTGTGCCACTGCTATCCCTGCTGGGGAACAGAACAGCTCAGACACACTGGGTCATTTCAGGAGTTTTATCAGCCTGGAGCTCAGGCAGCACCCTCCTGCCCCAGGGCAGAGCAGGGACCCTGCAGGGCTGGGAACTCCTTCAGTGCAGGGGTGCCACCATGCTCCACTGTCCCTGCAGCTCGTGGTCACACCTGCCTGGCCCTTCCTGTCCCAGGCACCCTCTGCAGCAGCTCCATTCCTGTCCCATCCCATCCCTGTCCCATCCCTGTCCGCTCCCTCCCCGGTACCTTCTGCAGCAGCTCGATCTCCTCCCTGTCCCCTCCCTGTCCCCATCCCTGTCCCGTCCCCGGGACCTTCTGCAGCAGCTCGATCTCCTGCCTATCCCATCCCTATCTCAGTCCCATTCCCATCCCCATCCCTGTCCCCTCCCTGTCCCCATCCCTGTCCCGTCCCCGGTACCTTCTGCAGCAGCTCGATCTCCTGCTGTTTGGCGTTGAGCACAGCCAGCGCCTGCTCATGCTCCAGCTCCAGCTGTTGCCGCCGCTCCGCAGCCTCTCGCATGTGCTGGGCAGGGGAGAGAGCACTCAGGGGACAGGGACAGCCACGCGGCCAGGGGGCACTGGGCCCACAAACCTGCCTGGCACCCCCAGAGGCAGCGGGGAACCCAGCGGGGGCTGGGGCTCGGCAGGGCTTCAGCCAGAGGAACTCAGGCACGGGGAGATGTGCCCCTGCCAGGACCGGGCTGTGACCCTGCCAGGACCAGGCTGTGACCCTGCCAGGACCAGGCTGTGACACTGCCAGGCTGCACAGGACAGCAGGACCCGGGCTGTCCCCCTGCCAGGACCCGGGCTGTCCCCCTGCCAGGACCCGGGCTGTGCCCCCGCCAGGACCCGGGCTGTGCCCCTGCCAGGCTGCACAGGACAGCAGGACCCGGGCTGTGCCCCTGCCAGGACCCGGGCTGTGCCCCTGCCAGG